ATTCCTAAAATTTTCTCCTTCACTTCTTATTTTAACTTTGATCCACATATTCAGTATAATTCAACTGAGAGTTCTCATATTTCAGAAGATTATCATTTGTGGTCCTCCCCAAGTTTAGGCAATACTGGTTGGGCATCTCTTGTCCGCCATATGCAGGACCAGAAGTATTTCAGATTTTAGAGTTTTTTGGGTTTGAAATGTTCACATAGACCTTTCCAACTGAACATTATTAATCTAAAAATCCCAAATCCTCCAATATTAAAAAAAGTTTCAGATTTCAGATTTTCTGATTAGGGATGCTTAATCTATGTGTTGTATTTAATTGTACATATTTTATATTTTTGTTATATATCATGTAATATATTTAGCCAATCTAAAGGGGACAAATACCATGACTACATAGTCTACCTCTTATTTCTTTGGTATTTATTAAATAAAACCTCAGGGATTCATTCATTAACTGAACCTTTAAAACTATCAACTAAATTTCGTGTTCCTAAGATTGATTTTTTGTTTTGGTTTTTGCTTGTACATTTACCTGTATATTCAGCCTTAAAGTTCTTGTGGGTTTTTCACAGACAAAGATATATGCAATTGCATAATTAAGTCAAGATGCTGACTTGCAGCATTTGCCATGAACCAAATTTTAGCAGTAGTGTTTAGATAAAACCATGGTCTTGGAGGGTATATGTGGGGTTCTGGGTGTTTTCTTATAATTGTATTTTAGGGAAAACCCTTCTTGTGTGGTAAGAAATTATTACTGTTGTGATTAGTATCATTATTAGCTTTACACAATGCCAGTTTAGAAAATATATTGTCGTTCTTACTCAAAAGATAATTTTGAGAGACATTTTTACTTGTTTTTAGTATAATATTTACTTTGAGATATTCATACTCTTTTCATGATTTTATTCTAAGACACTGGGACATAGGGCCAAAAGATAAAGGTTTCTTTATTAAAATTTTGACACTTTTTACATGTGTAGTAGAATTCCCTGCACAATAATACATACAAAGATTGATCAGATGTAGAAGTAAACCTCCAAATGCGTATTTTATTATTAGAAAAAAAAATTATATAGTGATAAACTGTTTTAGTCAGATTTTGTTGTTCCTGTGACCAAATACCCAATAAGAACAGTTTTAAGAGGGAAAAGTTTATTTTGGATATCATGATTTCAGAAGTCTCAGTGCACAGATGGTCAATACATCCCTAGGAACTCAAGGGGAGTCAGAACATCATGGTGAAGGAAATCAACTGGGAACATGGCACCAGGAAGCAGAGGGGGTGGGGCGCGTAGGGAAGGAGAGAGAAAGAGAAAGACACCGACAAACACTCCACTCATCAGGGTTAAAACATACATCCCAAAGGCCTACCACCCCCCCCCCCCAGTGACCCACCTTCTCCAGCCACATACCCTACCTGCCTTCAGTTAACACTCAGTTAATTCCTATCAGGGAATTAATTCACTGATTGGTTAAGGTTCTCATAATCCAGTCATTTCACCAAACTTTCTTGCATTGTCTCACACATGAGCTTTTGGAGGACACCTACTATCTAAACCATATTATGGACTATACAATGTAGAAAGCAGTAAATGTCATGAGAAATACCTTGATTAAGCCTTACGATGTTCAGAAGAATTCATTATTTCATGAAAATTTTTAAATTTATAGGATTTATGCCAAACAGAATAATTATATTTCCTGTCCTTAAGAATCGTCTGACCGTCTGATGGAAAAGACAAATAAGTAGGTAATTACAATATGAGGTAGGAAGTAAAAGGATGAAGCAGGTATAGATGAGAAATGAGTTTGAAGATATAAAAAACAGCCAGAATCAGTATGACTATTCTGAATCATGGAGTTTAGGTTCAATTAGTCTTATCTGTAATAATAATTAAAATATTTAAAAGAGTTTTGGAAAGGTGGCAGCTTCATTTTGGACAAGTTAAGTTATAGCAGCCTAGCTTGGGGCAGTGGTATGTGCCTATAGACTCAGCTTTGGCTTTGGAAGATCACTTGAGCCCAGGAGTTTGAGACCAGCCTGTGCAACATACGGAGACCTATTTAAAAAAAATTTTTAATAATTAAAGAATTTTTAAAAGATACACAAAAGGAGAGGGAGAGAAATGACTAGAGAAAATATCCTGTAAAAAAACTGAGGGAGTGGAAGTACTCTCAGCAAGCATCCCGTGTAGCAGAGGTGGCTGGTTAGATCAGACAAATTGGGTACCAGTGCCCTGATATTGGAGTGGTCAAAGCAGAAGCCAGATTGTCTAGGGTTAAGAAGTGATGTGAGAGTTTAGAAGTGCAGAACATGATTTTCTACCACTTGGGGGAAAGTTTGAATCTCACTGAGAAGGTTTGAATTCTAGATTTACCACTTAACCAGTGTTAAGACCTTAGGCATGTTAATCTGTTATCTTCATCTTTAAAATGAGGATCATAATGCCTGCCTTATTAAGTTTTCTGTGAGAATTAAAGGAGTCTATATAGGGAGAACATTTCAGAAAGTACTATTCATACTCTGCACATGAGCTTGGATTGTGGCTCAGTGGTATAGTGAGGCACATGTGAGGCACTGGGTTTGATCCTCAGCAATACATTAAAAAAATAAATAAAGGTATTGTGTCCACCTATAATTTTTTAAAATTTAGAAAATATATGGTTTGCACATGATTAAAAAAAGGAAAAAAAAAACTTTCATACAGGTCTTCTAATCCTGGTTTGCTATTAACTCTTTGGAATATAATATCCATCCCAGTCTCTTACGAGAAAAAATAGCTGCTATTTTAACCCAGCTGCCAGAGTTTCTGTTACAAAACTGGTAATATTGAGTAATGTTTCTTGTGCTTGAACTTTTACTTTTCTCATAAATCCGTAACTCCTGTAGACCGTATCTATAAATTTCTTCCTTTAGGTCCTTATAGAAATACTTAACATTCATCCTCTAGATTCCCATACAAACCTTGCATTTATCTCTGTTATATCATCTGTTACATTGTTACTGGGATGATGTCTTTTGTACCAATGTGTGAATTAGTGTAAGATATTTATTTTCAATTGTTTATAAAAGTTTGCATAGTACTGTAGTTTTTACCCCATGTTAGCATCGCTTCATGCTTAAAAAGACTATGAAAGTTACTTAAGGAAGTCTCCTGAAATATTTATACAAATGCCTGGGTAGGATATTTAGATTATATAAGATCCTGGCTTCAAATCACTCAGCACAGTGAATTTCACATTCTTTTTTTTTCTCCTTGTTTAGCCCACATAGTTACTTGAGAAGCTTATGAAATACTTAGACTCCTCAACCCATGCTCTCTGATTTTGAAAATTCTACATCATCACCTTCATTTTCATTAACATCTAAGCTCATTCTTAAATGCTGTAGATTTATATATAATACATTTGAATGACTCCTATTGTGAAAATTTTATCCTCAATCTTATGCCATTACCATTCTTCTCAGATGGTCTGGTTTAAAAAAAAATTCTCCAAATTTTCCTATGAACATTAAATTGTTTTGTACTTATATTTTATTTATTTATCTATCTATTTATTTATTATTGATTTATTTTTAGTTATACATGGTAGTAGAATCTATTTTGATTTATTTACTTCCCTTAATTAAATGGATATAATTTTGACTGTAAAACCACAGATAAAGAAAAATAATCTTGAAATCACATGTAACTAACAATGTACCATCAAGAAATATGAATTAAAAACATATAATGAGGGGCTGGGATTGTGGCTCAGCAGTAGAGCACTCGCCTAGCATGGGCGGGACCCGGGTTTGATCCTCAGCACCACATAAAAAAATAAATAAATAAAGGCATTGTGTTGTGTCCATCTACACCTAAAAAATCAATATTAAAAAAAAAAAACATGTAATGAGTAGGATCTGTGTACTATTCTTTATTTTTAAAATCCATTTTATTCACAATGTAACATGTCATTGTGGTAAATTATCTAAAATCATCCTGTGTCATCACATGATTTACGAATTATAGCAGAGGGCTGGAGATATACAGCTTAGTTGTTGGAGTGCTGTCCTTGCATGCACAAGGCCCTGAGTTCAATCCCCAGCACCACACATACAAAAAAAAGTTCACCTAAGAATCATTGCATAGTTCTATTAGTCATGAATAATTTAAAGAGATTTGTAATTTCCAGTCACTGATTATTTAGATTTTTAATGTTTTGCTTCTATAAACATAATAAAAATTCTTATAAACCTAAAAAAAGTATGCATAGTACCTGATACTTAGTAAACATTCAGTAAATGTTAAGTTGCATTGAAAATAGGAAAATGCATAATTAGATATGACACATATTTGTGCAGCTCTACTGTGTGTTCATCACAAAGTTTCAAAAGTTGAAAAATATTTTGAGATAATTATTACTTTTTGCTGATTACTTAACTCTTTAATGTCAGAAAGGTGAAGGCTACCCTTTGACTTAGCTTACTCTAGTCAGGATGGACAGTATTGTTAAAGTGACAGGTTTGTTTTAATCCATTATCAATATTAACATTCCCAATTTGGCTATTATCATTTTCAGAATCATCTTTGAAAAAGAGTAAGAACTTGGTAGGTAAATGTGTAAGGCAAGACTAGTTAATTAAATATTTTATTAAGTGGTTGCCAGGAAAAAAAAATCACAATTATTTAGGTCCTTTTTTATTGTCATCTGTTTCAATTTACTGCTACCAGTCTTTTGGAAAATAAATTGTCCATCACTTCAGATGGAGTGTTATTTTGTGGTTCACTGTTTTGTGCATGGGCCAGTGAAAATTTTATACCTGGTCTGGGCAACTGGTTCTTTACTGTCTCACTCTCTAGTTTTTCCTGAAAACACATAAACTTTCAATCTATCAAAAAAAAGTGGCTTTGTATGTGTGTTTACATACTGGTGTGTTAATATAGTAGGCATTGGGAGTCTTCTCTGTGTAAATATTTGTAACATGCAGTGTTCTCCTTTCTCTGTTGAAGCACTCTCCATCCTGTACTCCAGCTAGCAAAGGCAGACGTGTAAGAGACTATTGCACTTTGTGTACCCATCCTGATGCCTTCTACCTCTGTCTCTTAGCCTTTTGCCTGTGATTGCAGAAGCTGTGAACATTTGTGTGATATATTAGTACATTGATTTTGCATGCTTTTGCTGCTGCTCCTGCTTCTGCTATTGCTACTCTGCTTTCCTATATTTTCGCGGCTTTTTGTTTGTTTGTTTTTCCTGTTTTGGCTTTGGCCGCAAAGCTTTAAGAATGTTCATATAAATTTCTGTAACCAAAACACTAAAATAATCAGATATCATTTTTGTTTTGATGGGGGGAGGGCAAAAAAGTGATCCTAAAGAATACTTTCTAAATTAAATACAAAAAAATGAGTTTCTAAATAAGAATCTGATATAATCAGTGATGTAGAGATTTAGATTTCTATTACATAGGAAAAAACAATTAATTTGTATTATACAAAATTTATAAAAAGGATTTTGAACAAACTATAGATCTTATTGGCTATGGTTTTATGTAAATCACTTTTAAAGAAATCCTGAAGTTTTTTTTTTTAGTGTAGTTCAAAGGAATCCTCTTAAATATACATACAGATCTGAGGGAATAATGTTACTAATAAATTTTTTATATTCTAACATAATTCCAAGATTTTAAAACTATCTGATCATACTTCCTATACGTATTATTAATAAACAATAAACATCGTTTATGTTAATGCTAGCTCCCATGTTTCTCAAATACTTTCTATATGTATTATTAATAAGTGATAAATATCTTCCTATGTTAATGCTAGCTCCATGTTTCTCAACCTGAAGTGGTTCCTCTACTACCCCATCCTGCAATATTCTGATGTGCCCATACTGGGGGATCTATATGTAGAAAGGTCTCAAAAGTTTTCTAAACCAGTCTCTATCCCAGCACCAGTCTCACACACATACATACTTCTCAACCTGAAGCAATAGGCTAGTTGATACATTTTTTCAGATTTTCATATACTGTGTAAAATAGTAACATTTGAAAGGAAAGTCAGAAGTGATTTTTACCTGTCAGGTTCATGATTATTGGGATTGATCAACAGTTTAGTAGATAGAGTATTTGGATTTGGGAAGTTCTAGATCAGTTAATTCTCTGATTTATGGAGGAGATGGGAAGTAGTAGGGTGGCTCATTGCTTCCTGTGTCCATTCTGATGTGATAGAAGGTTGGTTGTCAAATAAAGCATGAATAGCTCTAGTATCACAGTACTATCAGAGTATTGTTTAATAATAAGCAGTTTAAAAATCATTCTGTGTTAGTAGAAAACTTTGAGTTCCACTGACATTAATTATTGGTCTGAGAAAAGATTGCTGGTTCAACAGATTTCTTTATTAATTTTGGGGATTTGTAGAGAGTTAAAACAATTAGATATTTGGATTTATCAAATTAATCTGGGCACATGTTAACTTACTTAATATAGCCTCTAGAAGGAAAGACTAAAATGTTGTGTGCCTAATTGTATTAGGTTTAAATCATCAACCTGTGAATTGATTAAGTTTATAATTGCTTCTTTTTCCATAAGATTATAATATAGAAAAGTTGTTTTTCTAATTAATATGGCTTAGTTAATCTCACTTTGCCATGCAGACTTTAGAGGCCTTGACCATCTAAAACATTTCTCTAAATCATGAAATATGGAAAATTTTTTGAGGGAAATACCTATTAGAAGGTCTCTTTGTCTTTTATCTTTATTGTCTTTGTCTTTATTACATAGAATATGAATAAGCCATAGTGAACCAAAATTTACAGACATAAAATAACACACAGCTTTTTTAAAACTGAAGATAGGCTTGATTATCTGCTTTCTCAGTAATTTTTCCTGGCTTAACTATCTGACCAATAAAAATGCAACCAGTGAATATTGTAGTGTCTCTGAAGGAGATGATTGAAGAAGTATGAATTATTCAGTAATTAAATAGAAACTTCTCAATGGTTATTTTAGTCAGCTTTTTTGCTACTGTGACCAAAAGACCTGAAAGAACAATTTTGTTGTTGTTGCCCTATTTGTATTTTATTTAAAGAGAGGGTCTCACTGAGTTGCTTAGCTCCTTGCCATTGCTGAGGTTGGCTTTGAACTCGTGATCCTCCTCGTCTTAACCTCTGGAGCCACTGGAATTACAGGCATGTACCACTAAGCCCAGCCTGAAAAAAACAATTTTAAAAGAAGAAAAGCTATTTGGTGCTCACAGTTTCAGAGGTCTCAGTCCATAGATGACCAACTCCATTCTTTAGGGCCTGAAGTATGGCAGGACATCTTGGCTGAAGAGTGTGGTGGAGGAAAGTGGCTAAGGACACGGCCTTCAGGAAGCAGAGAAAGAATCCTCCTTACTAGGGACAAATTATGTACCCCAAAAGCACACCCCCAATGACCCATCTCCTCTGGCTATACCCTGAGTTAGACTATTGGAGGATTAATTCACTAATTAGGTTAAAGCTCTCATAAACCAATCATTTCATCTCTGAACTTTCTTGCATTATCTCACATATGAACTTTTGACAACATCTCACATCAGAACCGTAGCAGTGGTCCCTGGGACATACGGTATTATTCTAGTAGGACAAAATAGCTATTCCTAACAGTGAATTTCACATTATAGATCATGTTTTTAGATAAGTAAATGTGCAATGCTTTTATAAACTTTAAAATTCGCTGTAAAATGTGATAGAAATGATGACATTATTAAATAATAATTGCCGTATTCAAATTTTATGTGTTTAAGCCTCATTTTTAGTTTAAGTATTTTATAAATGATGTTATTTAATTAAGCATAGTATAATAAAAAATGTTATGAGTGGTTTACTCTGAATACAGATGGTTAATGAGAGTTTCATAGGGTTTCCATTAATAGTGAAAAATACTGATGTCTCATTTTAGAAAATAATATGCTCCACACCCTAAAGGAACAATCTGAAATGAAATGACAAACAAAACTTTGTTATACTTTCTTAGACATTTCTCCAGAATGGGTTCTCAAATCAATATACTGAAAAGAAAATTTTCCTTAAAGAGATACAAGTTACATTGTTTAGTAAGATTGCATAATCTTCAGTAATTTGTTGTTATGATTTGCTTTATATGGTAAAATATTTACTGTTTTCTGAGTGATACTGTATTTCTGTTACACTGTGGTTTTTATTGTCATAAGCTCAATTAACAGAAATAGTTATTTCACTGAAGATTTGAGATTTATAAATGTTCTGAATGTAAAACATTAGGCTAGCGGCTGGAGATACAGTTCAATTAGTAGAATTTTTGCATTGCATCCACAAGGCCCTTACAATCCCCAGCACCACACACACACACACACACACACAAGACTACTTGCTCCTTTGTCTTCTAAAATATTTCTAGCTAAAGGATAAATAAAATTTTAAAAATTGAATATTTTTCTGTTAACTTAGAATTTTATATTTACTAATACAAATGGCATGTTAAATGCAAGCTGTTGTTTACTAAGTTGATCATTTATAGTTCATATTATACTTTGGTATCTTTTACTTAAAATAAGGTCTCTTATTAGAATATTGCTACTTAAACAAATCTGTAATTATTAGGGAATAGAAAAGGCCCACTGATGCATACTCGAGATGAAATTTTTAGTTATTTTTATTATTTCTAGAAAAAAAGTAGTACATAATTTAAGAAATTCTTGAGATGTAAGTGATCTAAAAATCAGACATTTGCCTGACCCTGAAAGATTAAAAAAACCAACTTTCAATTTTACTGTACAGTATACTCTAAAACTACATTGTAAGGAAAGTCCTAATGGATTCAGGGAACATTATAGACTTTCAGTATGACAGTGCTGTGCATTGTGGACAATATTAATATTCAGCTTTTCTGCCTTTTTAAATTAATAACAGAGTTAAGTAAAAATAAAACTGGAGTATAGTAGATATCTGTAATGCTTATTCATCAAAGTAACTTATTAAAATGTATACTTAAGAAAAAAATTTGTTAACCAAAGAATAGGAAAAATTTATTTGTTCTACAGAAGAGTGTTTCTTAATTATTTTTTCTGAGTGGATTGCAACTTAGAAATATAGAGTGAATTGCTTATGCCATTTAGTTAAAATTTGTTTCCAGGGTCTTTGGAAAAAATCAAAGTATACTGTCCAATGAATATTAGCTATTTGTTGCTTTTTTGCTGTTTTTCCTTTTTATCATTTCTTTTTATAACTATAAATTCAGTTTCCAAATTAACATTTATCTCTTGCTTTGGTTGTATATTATATTTATTAAGTTTTGGTATATTAATAATTGCTTATACTTAGTACTATAATATTTTTCTTGATGCAAAGAGTTTAACTTCCATAGTTTAATAATGATGATTATGTTAGTTTTTAAAGTTTTAATGTTATCAATTGGTTGCTTTGCTGCTGTACTACATCTGAATCATTCCCAACTAATTATTAAAACTGATTTTAGGCTAGGTTGAATTCTAACATGTGATCATTGAATATCCTGAAAGTTTAATTGAATTGTCTTTTAATGTTTAGAATAAGCCATTGATTGCTATGCATGGTAAGCATTTGATTTTATTAATTAAAATAATAACATGTTGAAAACCATAGTCCTGTTTAAAACTTTGATGTGAAAATATTTGATATTGTATTTTTTCTTATTGGTATTATTAAAGCACATATGAGATTGTTTATACTGGCAGTAATTCAGAAATGAAATGAAATATTGCAATTCTAATGTCATTAGATACCCACTTCAACTATAGTCTTTAGAAAACCTAGAATATTTTTTAAAGTTTGATGGTCAAAATTTTTGTCTTTTTGCCATGATTTTACTCAGCTTTAGTAAACTTTGTTCCTTATATTTATGAGAAACACACATTTGAAAGTAAAGTGGTTATTTTTAAACTTTAACTCTGTATTCATTTTCAAAAGTCCAGAGTTCAGCTTCTTGATATGTTCTGTTAATGCCATCTCAAAATATTATTCCAATATATTTACTTATTTTTAAAAATTTTAAAAGAAAAATAACTTGATTTTTATTTAATCTGAAATTAATTTTTGCCTTAACAGCATGCAACTCTATAAAGCAAGTATCATAATTTCCATAATTTTATTTTATTACAATTGATATTGGTTATATTTTTAATTTAAATATTTCTGTTTCTGGATATAACCAGGTTTTACCTCAGTCAGCTAAGAAAATCTTTTTTTTTGCTTGGATTGTGGCTCAGTGGTAGAGCGCTCACCTAGCATGTATGAGGCACTGGGTTCCACCCTCAGCACCACATGAAAATAAATAAATAAATAAATAAATAAAGATGTTGCATTCATCTACAACTAAAAAATTTTTTAAAAAAAGAAAGTCATTTTTAAAATCTATTCTCCTTTATATTGCTTTATTTCATTTTTTATTAAGATGAATAAAAAGACTTTAACAAATGAGAGTAATTCTTCAGATGAACCAAAAGTGGTGTTTTAAAAGCCTCAGAAGTTTTAAGAGTAATGTGAGAGACTTAGTCGATAGTGGATTTTTTTCCCCTTTCTCTTGTATCTAGACTTAATCGATAGTGGATTTTTTTCCCCTTTCTCTAGTATCTATCCCACTGTCATAATGTCGCATTTTCATAGGGTCATAAAACATGCCGATAAATGTTTTAACAACTGTGGGGCAATGGTAACCCTGCTTTTGAGGGTTGCTAATTTTGTAATGTAAACCCCTTATTAGACTGCATACTGACAAAATGGCTTGAGGCAGCATATTTTGATTTCAGAGCAGGACAATATAAAACATTGTGCTCCACTTGTATGGGCATGTGTTTATATGGCTCAAAGAACAGGCCTGCTGTAAAATTTTAATTATTCCTAGTGGAAACAGCAAGTTCTTTTTCATGTTTAGAGTTTTTAAGTCATTGGACCCAGAGGTACAAACCCATTGTTACTGTGACAGACTGTGTCAGTCCGTCCTATCACAGCATTGCCTTTGGCCCAGGATTTAGAAACTCTATAATAAAGTTTTCTTTAAATGTTCCCTTTTTTACACATAAAAAACCTTTTACTTGAACACTTCTTTGAAATGTTATGAGATAATTATTTGAGTTACTTTTAAGTTCTTAGAAGTATAAAATGTGTCAGTACTCCTTTGCTTATTCCCTTGTAACTGAACTTCCCCTCTCCCTGTGCACACTTATTCATCTTACAATTTTTATCATCTTATATAAACAAAAAGGAGGAGATTTTTAGAAAGTGAAAGACATTTCTGCCTTATTCCCAGCCTAGTATCATATTTTAGATTAATAACTTAAATAGATAATCATCTCCAGTGACTACCCCTGAATAAAACTATGAACTGGGCAAAAGTTGTCTTTAGTATCATTTTCTTCTTTTATAGTCTTTTTCCTGGCCAGAGGTCACTGTCAAGAAGGGAGATAATGTGACTTGGCCTCCATAATCATAAAGTTATTTTGAGTACCCTTGCCATAGAGATAACCCCTGATAGACTAAAAAGAATGCTAAATGTGGAGTTGAGAGACAGGATTCAGACTTGGCCCTTCAAATTCACAAAGCATATTAGTTGTAAGTAATAATCCATGTTACACAACAGCTGATATTTAGCTGGTAAGCTTCAGTTCAGTAGCTCCAGAATTTAAAATATTGAAATATTTTCCTAGCATTTGGTGATTAACTGCTGGTCCAAGTCCCCTCGATGCCCTCATGGAGACCCTTCTTCTCTCCCCACTTCTCCTTAATCTAAAAATTAAAGGTCTAAGTCCTGGTAGTGGTTACATTGACCAGCCACCAAAGCCTTGCCACCATAGTGCCTGCCTATACCCACCACCCTGGGAGGCTACACTTGGGGGTACCTGTAGAGGGACCCTCTAATGTTGCCAGCTTAGTAGTCTATTTCTCCCACACATCCATCATATTATAGAAATTCCCACTTTGAACAAAAGTTAACTGTTTTACATAAACAACACATCATAAATCCAGAAGAATATTCTACTTCAGTTGTACATGGGAAAATATCCTCAACTTGAGAAAATGATTTGTACATTTAGAGAACAAAGTCATGTGCCAGAATTCTGTGGAGCTGAAATCAAAGCTAAAAAGTTAATTTTGGGAAAACCTTTTCTCTCCCGAGTTTGTGTATTCTCAGTCATTGATGATTCAACCTAGAATTTTAAGAAGTTTTATTCACTTAGTTTCAAATTTAAGGGTCATTATTCTTTTAATCATCAAATAATTCTGTTTTGTCAAGACATAGTCTCATGACTGCGTCTAAATCATCCATCAGTGACAGTTATAAGAAGGGAAAATAATTTTATGTACTTAAAATACTTAGCCTCTGATGCTGTTTTTTTATTGATTTGTAACTTCTGATCATAGCATTGTTCTTTTTATACAATATATTTAAAACAAATTTCCTAACCTATTTTCCAAATTGTCTTTATTGCCTTTTATTTTAAAAACTCAATCCTAGTAATTTTGAAAATTGCCAAATGGACTAGATGCTCAATCATTGTGCTTTATAACATCTTTTAAATTTTAATTCAAAGCGTTTCAGTTTCTGAAAGTACTTGGCTTAAAGGGTATAAGTGAGTATAAGTGCTGGATTTCTGCTGCTGCAAAATTAAAAGGAATTGACTTAAGTGACAAGCACAAAGCTGATATTAGCTTCTTTTGCTTTCACTAATGTCTAATAAAAGAACAAATTTAATTTTTATCAAGGACAAAATTATGTCTGATCTGCAACATTTACTTCACATGTATGATTTGCTTTGTGAAATAAAAAGTTCTATAAGGAATACAAATATTGATTATGCAGTAGACATCAGTGCTCAGAGTAAGAGATGAGCAATGAAGGTTATCACCATGCCTTTGGTTAATTTCTGTTATCTTAACCCTTGATTATATTAAAGCTAGTGGTTATGCTTTTGTGTAATGAAATATCACATCCCTAACATGAATATTCAAACTGAAGTTATTGTCCTCCGTTTTCAAGAAATGTCATAATCATGCCTTATAGGAATTTTCTAAGAGCTACACAATATTTAAAAGTGATTTCTTGGGTTTTTGTTTTTCCTGACTTATTTTCCTAGACTGATCCCATTGAAAACACTTATGTATGGAACCTGAGCATCAAGTATGTAAACATCCAGTCAAGGTCCACATCTCCTTCCATATCTAGTGAAGCTGAGCCAGTTAAGGTGCTTCATTGGAGCAACCTTGCTCCCCTTTTCTTACACTTGTGTCAGAAAAGGGAATTGGAGGGGGAAAAAAAGTGAAATCTATCTTCTGTTAATCAAATAGATTTTGTAATAAGTTAGAGGTCATTACTTTTTTAATTTTTTTTTTTTTAGTTGTAGATGAACACGATACCTTTATTTTGTTTTATTTTTATGTGGTGTTGGAATCCAGCCCTGTGCCTCATGCATGCTCAGCAGGCGCTCTACCACGGAGCCATAACCCCGGCCCTAGAGGTCATTACTTTTAAATGATAATGTAGCTAGGAATAGAAAATGAATTAGAAAATTGTTCCCCTAAACTTACCTAAAATAGACAAAAATATAACTCTAATAGTAATCTCTCTACATGGTATAGAACTATGTGGAACACAGGATAGTTTTATGTAAAGGTTAGAATTAACAGATACAAATTCTGAAGGTATATGCAATGCAGGTGACATTCTCACATTTTAATTCTTATAATAAACTTAATAAACCATGATATAACTAATCTGTTACATCATAAGCACGGCTTAAAAATAAAATTGCCACTGCTGGCAGCTGAATATTTTATTCTGACTGCTGAATCCACCTCAGGTACTCACTTAACTAAACCGTGCCGTGCCCTTTAATAGTACCAAAAAATGTGTTGTTTTTACACTTCATGTCGAGCCATGGCTTTTAACAGCCAATTGGCTGGTTTTCTCACCAGAGACAATTTCCTGAACAGGTTAGAACAATATGTTGTGTCTCAGTTCATGCTACCTGCCTTGTGACACAGTCCTAGTTTTTCACTTAGCATCACAGTTCCTGCAGAGCTCATTTGCTTCCCTCTTTGTGATCAACAAAACTGTGTCTAGCTATCCACAGGAGCAGATGGTTCAGTGAAAGAAGTTGTCTTAAGTGTGAACTGTAGTCATGACTTGTTTCCCAACTATGATACAGTCCTCAGACTGGTTAATGAGACCCTCAGTATTTTTAGTTACAATTGTTTCAATATTTGGGGTTAATGGAATTTTATTTTAATGATAAAACCTTTCAGGCATACACAGAATAATATAATAAATACCTATCACCCACAGATTTAACAGATAAGAATATTTTATTTTACTTTTTCAGTTTTTTTTTTCCAAACAAAAAATATTCCAGAACCAGTTAATGTCTTCCCTTACACCATTCCTCTCTTTTTCCCAGACATATCTCAATATCTAGAATCTGGATGCATATCCCCTTCCTTGGTTTCACCTGTTTATTTCATTTGTATCCATAAACAATATATGGTAATGTTTGTCATGTATTTAAAATTTGCAGAAATGTTAACTGTGTCCTTCTGCATCTTTTTTCATTCATAAGTATGCATTGAGGTTTAATCATACAGATACATGTCCATTTAGTTCATTCATTATAACTGCGGCATAATGTTTCATTGTTTGAATCTGCCACAGCTATTTATCCATTCTTCTGTTGTTGGATATTTAAGTGGCTTCCAGTTTTTTATTACTATAATCAGCACTGAAGTGAACCTCTTAATATCTATCTACCTTTGCAAATGTGCAGTTTGTTTAGCATTTATACATAGAAGTGGAGTTACTGGGCTTTATGTATTTTTGGTTTTAACTAGATCTTACCAAACTGTTTTCCATAGTGGTTGAACCTGTTTTCATTCCTACCAGCAGTGTGTGAGAGTTCCCTGTTTGCCCACATCCTTGCCATAGCTTGGTACTATCAACTATTAACTTTTGTCAATCTAATAGGTATAAAGTAACATTTTTTGTTTTAACTTGTTTCTGTTTTCTAATATATCTTTTTAGAAAAGCATGTCTTTTTATATATGTTTGTTGGCTATGGATGATTTGCCTGTTAAAGTTTTTGTCCATTGTTCTACTGACTTACTTTTCCTCTTGTTTTATAAATGTCCTTTATATATTCTGGATACTAATTCTTTGCTGGCTATATGCATTGTAAATATTTTCTTCTGGTCTTGGTTTATTTTAAAATTTTATTTGTGGTATCTTCTGTCTTGCAGAAATTTTCATTTTAAAGTAGTCAGTTTTATCAGTCATTTCCTTTGTTACTTATGCTTTTTTATGCAGTTTTTTTAAAGCAGTTCTTTTGCAGTGCAGAGATTATGAAGATTTTCTTCCATATTTTCTTCTAGGAGTTTAAAACTTTGGCTTTTATGACCTTAATGAAACTGAAATATATTGTTATATATAATAGAAAGTGGGATTCTAATCTGTTTTTCCCATATCAACATCTGGCTCTTTTATATTTCCCCTCCTTTGATTTGTAAACCCAACACTACTTTGTGTGCATGGGTCCGTTGGAGTTCTCTTTCTCTTTCACTGCCCTTTTGCTTATTTCTGCACTGATACCAAATCATCTTATTTATTCTAGCCCTAAAATAATTCTTGATACCTGGTGTAGTGAGCCACCAAAAAAAAACTTGATTCTTTTTCATCTTGACCCTTTGGTTTTCCATATTACTTTTAGTATTAACTTGTCAAGTTCCACGTGGGGCTTTTGATTGGAATTGCATTGAACTTATAGATTTATTTGAAAAGAATTGACATCTTCATGATATTGGGCATTTCTGTCTATGAACATGATATGCATAGTTGTTGGTTATTCTTTTACATCCTTAAATAAGGTTGCATTACTTTCAGTGTACTCCATGTTATTAGATTTGTTCCTAGGTATCTTAAAATTTTATTACTCTGATGAGTGGGATCTTTTTAAATACTTTATTTTAAAAGTTAGGCATTGCTTATCTTTTTAAACTCTGTTGATCTTGTATCCAGCACCTTTGCTTGACTCTTTTTTAATTTACAAACATTTCTTGAACTTTCTATAGAATTCTAATGAAAGTTTTGTTTACTGTTAATTTTTTTCATTAACTTTTACATAGATTTTTCAGTGTTTACTTTCTTATCTTTTAAATTTATCCTCTCAAATGTTGAATTATAGATTGGGTTCAAGCTATTCAAAAGGAAATATAGTTCCAGTTAGAACTAAACTCACAGTTAAACAGAAGATCCTAAAAAACACACTGAATTCCATTTTAAGGCTATATTGAATGTCAAATAGTCTATTTTTGGAAGTTATATGTAATAAAGACAAAGAGAGACCATCAGTTTTTCTCCTAATATTTTTAAATATTAAAATTAGGATGTAAATTATTTTCTTACTTGCTTAATATTCTAAAAGGATGTTATTTCTCCTCTTTTTTTAATACTTTTCTAATTAAGTACTGTCTCTTTGTCATGTCCCCCACACCCAATAACATCCAATAAATCAATGATTTATTTCAAAGAAATAGCTTACAATAATACCTCATAAAACTGTTTGCCTACTAATAAAGATAATAGTTTGTAACTAAATTTGTCTTAAATTCAGAATTCCAGTAATTTTAAATAATTTAACTCTCTTATTTGGTAATTAATTTTTTACAAAATCCCACTAATCTCTACCTGTATATTCAAATCCACAGAGTTATTTGTATTCCACACATTTAATGTATGTTCTAAAAATGGAGGTCAAGTAGTAAAAAGGAATCTTCTAAATATTTTTATTATAAATAAAAATCAGATACTTTTTAGGATGAATATATCAAATTCATAGGAATGGAAAGTTAGTATCCTCATTTTTATATATAGGTTACATGCTCTGATTGTTTGATTTGGTTTGGTTTTCTTCCATGGATTTTCTTTTCCAAATTATTCATTTTAAAGTTTCCAGACTGAAATATTTTTTACTAATTGAACAAATTTCATTGTAGACATTGCAGACTAAAATTTAAATGATCAGTACTCTGAGAATTTCAACTTCGATGAGATTAACTAGTAGAACTCTTTGCCTAATTGATGTTTGTTCATTTCTATTTACTTTGGTTTCTTTCTAGTTATGTTTAAGATAAATGAAATGTTTCATGACATTTGTTTCCCTTTTTGCCTCTGGGTTCAGATTGCAGACAGTGCTCCACTTCCAGTTCACACACCAACCTTAAGGAAAAAGGGATGCCCTGGTTCAACTGGTTTTCCACCTAAGGTACTCTAGTTATAAACATAATTTGTTCAAAAAAAAAAAAAAAGGATAGTGGATTTCTTCTGCTTGTTTATATACTATGCTTTTAATTCTGATTTCTTCAAAGTTAAAAACATAAAAGCATGGAAGGAAAATAAAATCACTATGAATGGAAATAATCACTAATGAGAAAGGTAGGAAGCTTGTACAGTTTTTGGATTTTTTTTTCCTGTCCTAAATTCAGTGTTTTAAAGTCTAAGTAAGGTGTAATGCTTCTTCCAGAAACTACTCTGGATTGTTGCCTGAGGAAAACATTAAGTTGAGGTCTCCAATGCAAGGATCTGGAATTGGGGTTATTAAACAAAGCACTGAGAAAGAGAAATGTTTAGTGAAAAACTCAGTTGAATCTATCTTGCTTCCCCCCTCCCTTCATTCTAGTCAATTGACTATGACACGTGTATTATAGAGAATAGAACATAAAGATTTAGTTGCTTATCTCAGATTCCTACAAAGAAATTCTAGAAATTGGAAAACTGAAATGAATTACCTCTCAAAAACATAAACCTTGGATAATTCATAGAATGAGAGAAAGATAAGCAAATCTGAAAAAAGTATAAGTGGTATAAAAGAAAGACCATAAACTGAATAATCTATGCCCATCAAGAGAGTAAAAAACCCAAGAAAAAGCAAATGTACGTTCAAATCTTAGAGAAATTTACTATGGCCTCTAAAAGCAAAGAAACCAAAGGAAAAGCAGATGTACATTCAAAACAGTCCAAAAATAATGTAACTAGAAACACAGTGTGGAGTGAGCATGTATTGGTCTTGCCTGGAGAAAAAGTGTATAGATGATATTGTCTGGTGGTTAACATTTTAAATCCCTGGCCAGACTTCCTAAATTAGCAGTATAATCTCGAGCATGTTGTTTACCTTTCTGTGCTTTCATTTCCTCATTCCAAAAAAAGAGACAATACTAATACCCATTTAATTGAATAGTTTATGAGTTTTAGACAAATTTAATGTTTGTAAAGAACCTAGAATGATTATTGGCATAATATACATCGTAAGTATATTTATACTTGTAATGTCATATAAAATGTCAAATAAATAAATGTTGGTAACTCAGTAAGGAAATTAAGCATAAGTATGGATCTTCATAAGTGGAAGGGAATAAATAGGATATTAGTAAGTAAAAAGTATAAATTTTAAACCTTTGAAAGAAAATAGTCATTGAAAAAGAGTAAAGAAAGGAAAACATGATGACTTGGTACTCCTGCTGTGTAATAAATTGTCTGAAATCTTTTTTTTTTTTTTTTTTTGGTACAGGGGATCAAACTCAGGGGCACTCAAGCACTGAGTCACACTCCCCAGCCTTATTTTGTATTTTCTTTAGAGACAGGATCTCACTGAGTTGCTTAGCAGAACTTGCGATTCTCCTGCCACAGCCTCAGCCTCCCAAGCCACTGGGAATACAGGTGTGCCACACCACATCCAGCAAATTATCTGAAATCTTAATGTATTGAAACAACCCCTTTTTATGCTTACAAATTATTGGGCTATGAATTTTGGAATGATTCATCTGGGAAGCTCTTATTAGGAGCTTTCCATGTAGTTGTAGTTAAATAACAGCTGAGACTGCCATCATCTGAAGATTCAACTGAGCTGAATTGTTCACTTCCAGGGGTAGGCATTTGATGCTGGCTGTCATTCAACCGCTTACAGTCTTTCCAGCATGACAATGCTAGTCTTCCTACATGGCAGCTGCCTTTCCCCAGAATGAACATGCCAAAAGAACCAGGTATAAGCTGCATAGCTTAAAGTAAAGACATATGAAAGGTAGAAAAGGAAAGTAAAGGACACAGGTGTATACTACACATAAAACAAACAATTATAGATTAAGTTATTTTCCCATACACTCTAAAATGTAAATGAATAGGAACAAATCACCAGCATCTATAAGACCTTTGTGGTATTTAAAGTTATATTTGTGTAAATTGAGATAAAGCGAAGTGACTTATAATGACCCTTGGCTACAAAACTATCAAGGGAGCATTAAGTACTCCTGGAAAGATCTGAGGACAGTAGCAGAAACTGGAAAGGGACTTCTCAAGTGCCATTCCACAGTAAGCATAAGGAGATATAAGTAGAGGAAGATCTGGCAGTGCTAAAGTTAGGAGTTCTCAAAACTAACAAATTAGAAATGCCTTTCCAGATCAAAGTCCTGTCCTATGGAGAAATAGTTGGATGTAGATTCAAAATTGAATAGGACAGGGAAGAAAAGTGGGAGTCCAAATAGATAAGAAGAGGGATTAAAGATCTTAGAAAGTATGATATCATGTATATGTTTTTTTCATTTTATGAAAATAACAGAAAAGGAAATCTAGAGCTATGGAGCTACAAAAACTATCCTGGCCCACCATTTCCACATAAAAGGATAGGGAAAGTAAAAGGTAAAACTGATCAACTGAAAAGAGTTACAGTTAAATCTCACACAAAATGATTACATTTTAAAAAGAATAAGGTATAAAATATCTTAATAAAAAATAAAAGTCTGCCAATCAAAGAGTGTTTGTTTCAGGTTGGGGTTGTGGCTCAGTGGCAGAGCGCTTGCCTAGCATGTATGAGGCCCTGAGTTCAACCCTAGAAGCACCATATTAAAATAAATAAAATAAAGTATTCTGTCCATCTACAACCAACAAAAAGGTGGTTTGTCTCTACAAAACCAGTGAAAATTAGTGGATAGTGGGGTATGGAAGCATCCATCAGTGTTAAGATTTTGTGTTTAACCCCAGAACCAAAAAAGAGAAGAAAGGGGGAATTACAGTGAATATTTCAAAAGAAATTTATTTCTCAAATAATAGAAACTTAAATTTAAAAAATGAGAATTCTAAACCTTAAAAGCGAAGGTTGTTTGGAAAAAGGAAAATTTGAAAAAAGAAGATAAAGCATTTAGGAGAAAACTACAATTTAAAATACAATGTGATTTCAGGAATATAGGCTAGTGTACAAGGAATTCAAGAACAAATATACTAGCAGGTAATGCCTTGCAACAAATAGATAAAGAGGTGGATTTTTTAATTTAGCGAAGAAATGAGCAAAGAGGTTAAAAAAATTTAAGAAAAAGCAATAGAAATACTGGCAAAGAAGAGCCAGCATTTTTTATAATAGGAGTCCCAGAAAAAGAACATGAAGCAATGGAAAATACTAAAAAGTTAGTCAAGAAAATTTCCCCAAACAAAAGAAGACTTGCATCTCAAATACCGGGATGTGCAGCATAGCTGAGAAAATCAACCAAAATAACATATTCTAGTGAACTGTTACTGGTCTTTTTTAAAAAACAAATTTTTTTAGATATAGATGGACATAGTATCTTTATTTATTTTTATGTGGTGCTGAGGATTGAACCCAGGGCCTCATGCATGCTAGGCAGGCACTTTACCACTGAGCTACAGGCCCAGCCCCTGTTATTGGTCTTTAAAGAAATGCATTAGATATTCAGGCAAGAAGATTGGTCTCATCTGATGATGAGATTATCATCAGATTTTTTTTCAGTGGCTTCACTATGCTGGAAAACAATGGAATGATATATTTAATATACCCAAGGAAATTATGAGTCAGAGTTTTAAGAAGCTAAGTTGTTTTGTTGTGGTGGTTTTGTCTTTATTTTTATGACTGAGCTATTGCCCTAAGATTTGAAGGATACAAAAGCATCCTCCAAAATACAAAGCCGCAGAAAAATGTGTAAGAGTTCAAGAAATGGTTCCACAGTCTTTCTGAGGAATGTACTAAAAAACAAGTTTCAGATAATCAAAATAATAAGACACCAGGTAATTTGAGAGTCAGGAGGTGAAATAAGGGTCTAGAGTTAAATACAGAATGGTTCAAAAAGCTGGTCTTCGTGGTGCATGCCTTTAATCCCAGCTACTCAGGCTAAGGCAAGTAGGATCCACCAGTTCAAGGCTAGCCTCAGCAACTTAGTGAGACACTGTCTCAAAATAAAATATCAAAAGGGCTGGGGATATAGCTCAGTGGTGAAGCATCCCTGGGTTCAATTCCCACTACCACCACCCACCCCACCCCCCCCAAAAAAAAGAAAAGGAAAAATAGCTTTTACTTCAGAATGATTTAAAATCCACATGAAGCATTAAACTAGCTCTCAAAACATAACTATTCTACCCTGCCATATGTTAATTTTGTAGATCACTTAAACCAAAGAGACCACACAAACTCAGCAACATTGGATTTGGTGAAAGAGAAAAATATCAAATCACAAATAATGAGACTTTTAAATAAAAAGTCTACAAACAAAACGATAAGATTCCAAATGCCTTTCCCTTGCTTATCTCCCAAGATATTGGCAGTTGGGGTTATACCCCCTCTCCCCTCTCTCCTTGGAGGATACCAGTAGATTCTCTAAAGAAATAGGCCCAGAAAGTATCTATAGATAATGGCATTTGAGGGTCCTCCGTGAGATGGCAGATCGTCTCTAAACAAACACAAATAAGTGCATGCACACTCTCTCTCACATACACACACACATATACCCCTTTCTATATAGCTTTTTTTCTGTCTCTTAAAAATGTTCAGATTCTCAAGAATCAGCAAGCATTTTAGTAAATTCTCTAACAAAAGAAAAAGCAGAACAATGTTTTTGTATGTTTCTTGTTAGAGGAAAAAGAAGCTGTGAAGAAAGCAGAAGAAAACAAAAATAACGATCAGAGAACATGAGGTCTTTGGAAAATTAAAAATGTTAACCATTTTAAAAATTCAATAAATGAATTAGGAGATAAATTTTAGAAAATCTCTTAGAAAGTATTTTATCCAGGCACAGTGGCACGCACCTATAATCTCAGCATCTTGGGAGGCTGAGGCAGAAGTGTTGCAACTTCAAGCCCAGCCTGGACAACTTGGCAAGACCTTTTCTCAAAATGAAAAATATAAAGGACTGGGGATGTAGCTCAGTGGTAGAGCACCCCACCCTGGATTTAATCCCTAGTACCACCACAAAAAAAAAAAAAAAGGAAAAATAAAATATTGTAAAAGGTCACATAGAAATTAGAAGAGAAAATAATATAAGAAATCAGTATTCAACAAATAGAAGTTCCAGAATAATACATTTTTCCATAACTGAATACCCAATTTTTTCCCCTCTTCTAACTATCCTTTCAAGAATTATCAGAAATCAAGTATTTACCAGGATGCAGGGAACAGGGATCTTAGATCAGAAACCAAATAATCTATTAAATTTAATGTAGGATTAAATTCATGTTTCTTTCTGTTTCTGTTCTTCACCCCTCCCCTAAAACAAAACCATAGTACTATTGTGTATTGCCTAAAGATTGATGACATCAGAATAATGATTTTTAAATTAAGTTGTATGTTAATACTACTCTCAGTTGAGATTAGTGAAACATGGACCCCTTAATCTTTAATAGTTAAACTAACCCACCTTCTCCCATAATTTAATCAGCACCTGCCAGTTGGATGGTTGGTCACCCAAAGTTATTTCTCTGCCAAAACATTGTTTTTTGTTAGCACCACTTTACTCAGATTTGTGACAGCCTGAATAGATCTCTGGGGAAGAGGGAGATGTCTTGGTAGTCTTTTAAAAAAGAAGAAAAAGAATGGAGTTACTTTGAGCAATTGATTAATTCTTTCAGACATATTTGAAGTAACAGCCAAAAATAAATAAATAAATAACTGTGGCTGTGACAAATTTGTTGATAATTCTTCACAATACCCAAGAAACTACCTAAAAGTTTTATATTTATTATACACTTTATTCCCTTAATAATGGTAGTTACATCATTCTATGTAAAAGATAATCTACTGTTTCTTTTTTTAAACTTGTCTTGTAAAAAAATCCTATCCCAGTTGAAGAGAGCAGCTTTTGATTTGGCTTTGGGATTTTGGGGCGGTGCTTGGGAGCACACTGCCTAGTGCATGTTAGGCAAGTACTCTACCACTGAGCTATGTTCCTAGTCACCAGAATTTATTTTTACTTAAATTTTAGTTTTGAATATTCTTTGTGATTTTTCTAATATATTAACCTAAACTAAGTACTTCATAACTTTAATCATTACTGACATTTATTGGACTATAAAGAGTAGTATAAATTACACATGAATAATTAGTGAATTTTGTTTTCATAAAGAAGTAAATGTTTTTAAGTACTTACTATGTTGTGTCAGTCATTGTTTGAAAGTCTTCATTTATAAGTAATATTTATAAATATTTAATATTTATACTCATTTAGCCACCTCATGAAGTAGATATTATTATTGACCCTATTTTATATATAAGGAAAGTGAGATACAGAGGACTGAAGTGATTTGCTCCTGAGTTTATACAGTTGTGTAAAGGAAGAGTTATTATTGTAATTCTTTTAAAACATGCTAAGAAATAATTTGGAGAAGAAAAGAATATTCCAAGGAGATAAAGTCTATATTGGGTTGTCACTGTGTACATCAAGCAAGACAGAAGGGCTGGGGATATAGTTCATTGCAAGGTCCTAAGTTTAATACTAAGTACCACAAAAGAAAAAAATTTGTTGCAATCAAGACAGAGATCTTTACTAGACTTTCAGTAAGAAATTTCAGGCTGACATCTGTCTATGGTATAATAGGTGTGTATTTTTATCAGCTCAAGTATAAGTTATACTGCCTCTTTCCATGAGAAGAAACAGATACTTATAGCCTCTCATTTGTTCTTGCTTGCAGAAGATGAAATACATGATTTACAGTAGAAATAAGAGGTTTACATGATTCTTTTTATTCTTCTAAGAAGGTATAAAGCATATTAAAACTATATTTGTGTATATAAATTATTAAAATTTTACTTAACTCTGCCAAGAATAATTTAAAGAATTTACAGAAATTCTGAAGCCAAGACTTATGAGCAAAACCAAAATGCTACTGTCTGCTTTATACACTTTCCAAATGATATTCAAAAGCAATTATCATTTAACTTAGATTATTTTAGCTTGTTCTAACTTAGTATTATCTCATATAATTGTTTAAAGAGTATAAGCTGTGAGAAGATGCTATGAGAAATGGAAAGAATTCATTCTTCTGTTTAGTAAACATTCTAGTAGATTGTTATGGGACATAGTGACTAACATTACAGAAATCTTTAAATAATCAATGTATGTTTTCTTATCAATGTTTTGCAGCGCAAGACTCACCAGTTTTTTGTAAAATCATTCACTATTCCTACTAAATGTCATCAGTGTACCTCTTTGATGGTGGGTTTGATAAGACAGGGTTGCTCATGTGAAGGTAAGAAAAATTGGAAAAATTGACTTGTTTGAGCACCACTTTGTTATAACATTTCTACCTAAATTGTAATTGAGTAACTTTATTCTCTTTAAAAGACATACAAATGTTTGTTTCATTTAATCATTTGCTTTTCTCTGGATAACAAGAATATAGATAATATAACTGAGCACTTGCTAAAGTCTTTTGGATATTAGAGAAATTAGACAAATGTTCCCTAGAAATATTTTTAGGGGAGATATATTTGAATATGTTTAATTCATCTTTGTTTCATTATTTGGGTAAATTAATGGCCCCCCAAACCATTAACCTATATGACAGAAGCCATGGAAGTTATCCTTGGATATATTCATTCAATTTTAACATTGTTTATTTTCAGAAATTAAATATTTGCCACTATGCCTTAAAAGAAAGTTTGTTCCTAGTATTAATAGTAGAAGTTTTTCCTCCTCATTCATTGGTTTACCTGTCATGTATTTTTGGAATGCTTAGTGAGAAGGACAAAGGCGCTACACTTGTGGAGCTCACGTTTTGAGAGATGGGGGTGAAAGGATCAGGGGTCATTTAAATAGAAAAACCAAGCCTATTTGTTTGAGTACTACTTTATGTTTCCTAGATCTCTAAAATGAAAATGATTTAAATGATAATGGGATATATTATCATTTGTAACTTTTAGAAATATGAATTCTTTTTTAACTTTTCATAAATGTATTTATTTCAGTTATATATGACAGCAGATTACATTTTGACTCATACACAATTGCAGCACAACTTTACATTTCTATGATTGTACACGATATAGCATCACACCATATGTGCAGTCATACATGTACCTAGGGTAATGATGTCCATCTCATTCCACTATCTTTTCCCTGTGCACAGAAATGTGAATTCTTAATCAGATGAGACTTGCCACTACAAAACCACCTTATATAGGTAAAACCACCTTATATAGGTACTAGTGGTATATCTTATGAAAAAGACAAGAAGATAGTTGCTAATTCAAATTCTAATACTAGTTTCTGTTTCTTAGCTTTTCTGCTTTTAGTTTTGAAAGGGAATTTGGATGGAATATAGACACTCTCCATTTCAGGTGCTGAATTCCCTGAATTCTGGGAAGCTACCTGGTTATTTTTTTTATGCATCAGAATTACTTGTAATTCCATAGTAGGAATTTGGGGACTCTAATTAATTCTTTCAGACATATTTGAAGTAACAGCCAAAAATAAATAAATAGTAGGAATTTGGGGACTCTTCCCAGTCTCTCTTACTTCTGGAGTCTTGTGCCATGAAATTGTGCCTTTTTTTTCCTCAACTCCTTGAGGTCTACCTTATAAAGCCATGAAAGTGCATTAGACTATCCCAAGCCTTTGTCTAACAAGCTTTTGTAAATGTTGTGGTAATGTGTTATAGTCTCTAATGGTTACTATCATTTTTATTTCTTCCTTGTTGATTAAAATTAAATCTAGTTTATAGATACTTATTTTGTTGTTTCAGCTGCCCTTGGGAAATGAGATTTTTTCCTTATTAGCAAAATGAATTATAAATACTTATATTCTACTTAAAAGCAAATGATAGCCTGGCACAGTGGTGCATGCCTCTAATCCCAACTACTTGGGAAGCTGAACCAGAGGATCACCAACTTCTTTGCCAGACCCATCTCTCGAAATATATTTTTTAAAAGGCTCAGGATTTAGATCAGTGGTAGAGTGCCCTGGGTTCAGTCTCCAATACATGGGGTTTGGGGGAACAAATTGAGAAGTTTGTAGTTTTTGGAAGTCAATGCTAATTCATCCTGCCTTTCTGTTCATTTCATAATGTCCATCAGTGATATATAATCCATTTCTCTCAAGTTTAAGTATTCTCACGGTGATATCCTTTAGTTCCTCTCTTATTCTTTCCCTAGTTTTCTCCAGGAACCACCTTAGGAGTAGGAATTATAATCGTAGTCTATACCCCTTGCCAAAAAACTTGTTTTTTTTTTTTTAATTTTACCTGTAATTTTTACCCAACCAAGTCTCATTGAAAAGTATGAGTTCATTTTTATTTATAATCTTGTCTTAGAATCTCCAGTTCACTGTGTAAGTATCAAATAGAGGAATCATGGCAATACTGTTAGTGGTAAGGTATGCAGGATCTGAGCAAAACTGTATGAGTTTGAAATTCTACCACTGCCACTTCCAAGCTCTGTGACTCAGGGCATAGGTTACATAGGGATTAAAAACTATACCCCTTTTATATTGTCATAGAAAGATTTAAGATGCTCAGTAAAATTAACAGTTATTATCTAGTGGTAGTGTAAGTATATGGGATATTAGTAACTCCAAAAATTTACCATTAGCTTATACCTTTTTTAAATTCATTGAAAAATTCTATTTTTAAGAAGATTGGTAAAACTTGCCACATGTAGCAGAGATGTCAAGTAGCTTAATGTCCATTAATGACTCCTGCAAGATACATTTCAGAACAGATACCAAGTTGCAGTAAGACGAAGAAATAGAAATAGTTCCAGAAACCAAATTTTTAGCAATTATAAGTTTAACCAATCATTTTGTGCACAGGGTTAAATATTTTTCTTATCTGTTGCTTCCCCCTTTGACCACTAATGTTAACAGAGAATAATAGGATTACCAATGATAAAAATATTTACTATTTCTCATTAAAATCCTTATTGGTAAGCAGATGAGTAGCTTTTCAAATGATAAGACATCATTTGAAATGGTGTTTAAAATAAAAAGTAAGCATTTATTTAACAGAACACCTTGCATACAGTTAGTGCACTGTGAATTGTAATTGTTGTAGTCATTAAAATGAATTTTTAACATACATTGTCTTTTTTTCCTTTCAAAAGTGTGTGGATTCTCATGTCATATAACTTGTGTAAATAAGGCTCCAACCGCTTGTCCAGTTCCCCCTGAGCAGACAAAAGGTCCCCTGGGTATTGATCCACAGAAAGGAATAGGAACAGCATATGAAGGTCATGTCAGGGTAAGTATCCTTAGTTCAGATTTAGATGCATGTTTTAAGATTATGAATGAGTTTAAATAAAATCAAGTCATTTATGAACATAACATTTGACAAAAAAATGAAATGAACAAAATTCATCTAATAATTTTATGTCATCCAGTCCAGCAGAACAATTTGAAAATGAAAACCTAGTCTTTTCTTGGAAATAAATTCTAAAATGTCACAAACTTTTCTATATTATCCCTATTTTATAATGAAGAGAGGTTGAAATCACCATAAAGGAGTCTTTGGCCTTTGGTCTTGCCAAAGAGGTACTGTATGGTTATGAATTACAAGATATTATCAAATAATAATCTTACTTGATTTGAGTAGTATTTACATTGTTCTGCCGCCGCTAGCTTCATACTAGAGGTTCGAAACATAGAAGTTAACTAGTGAGTTCAAATTAAAGACACATAACACTCAGTTTACCTTTTCTCTTGCCCAGCTCAGAGACGGCCCCTCCCAGCTCCTGCCTCTAGCCACCTGGCAGTAGCAAGGTTTACACAAGAGACCAGCAAAAGAGAAAGAGGCATGCCAGAGAGGGAGCTTTTATTGGAGAACAAAAAAATTCAGGGGAAAATTCCATCCAGTGAAGGTCGAGGGGGACAGCATTCCAAGGTCAGGGTCAGTGATTGGTTTTTAGGTCAGTGGTCAGTCACAACCCCACACGGACAAGCCCTCGCACCTGGAAAGGGTGGGGAAAAGCTCTGACACAGCTGGTCTGAACGCCTCACACCCAGCCAGGGAGGTAGCTCAATCACGTGCAAGAACGGCTTCCCACAACATTGTAAGCTGAATTTTATCTTACTACCAATTTTGACGCTTTGCTTTTTTAGGAGAAGAAAAGAAAGAAAGAAACCATGAATGTCATTTTAATGAATTACCAGCAAAAGTTAAAATGATTCTTTTTAATAGTCTTTCATTAAAAGATGATAGTATTTGAAGAATATGTTCTCACTTTTTCTCTTAATGTTATTAATGATATGTGTCCCATTTACTTTACCAAAGTGACAGACTTTTGTACATTCTCGTTAGGTTTTCACCTTACAGTTTCATATGTAATTTAAAAGGCTTTGATTGCCACTTTCATTTGATGTGTTTGTTTGTTTTCCTTTCTGAAAGATCCCTAAGCCAGCTGGAGTGAAGAAAGGATGGCAGAGAGCACTTGCTGTGGTTTGTGACTTCAAACTTTTTCTGTACGATATTGCCGAAGGAAAAGCATCTCAGCCCAGTGTTGTCATTAGTCAAGTAATTGACATGAGGTAAGCCTTCAGGGGTGAAAAGATTTGTATCTCTGCAGCATAGGAATTACAAAGTTTTTATTTTTCTTCTTGCTATAGTCATTAAAATGAGTTTTTATCAAACATTGTGTCTTTTTTCCCTTTAAAAGCAAGTGGATTCCCATATCATATAACTTGTATAAACAGAACTCTAGTATTGTCATGTTTTTACTAAATAATCTAATTTCGTGTTAATATTCTAATTTACTAATATTGCTGTAGTAATATTAGTAAATTAGAATATTAAAAGTAGGAAGTAAGATGCAGTTCTGGGAGAGTTTGGTATGAGTGCTGAGTATGTAGGGTTTGGAGCCAGATAAGGGCTGGGGACGTGACTCAGTAGTAGAATGCTTGCCAGTATGTATGATGTCCTGAGTTCTATCCCCAACACAGCTGGAAGGAAAAAAAATTGAGCCAAGTAAAAGCAAACGGTGTTTGGGTCCCAAAGACCTATTTAAAGCCAGGAGGGGAGGGGAGTGAAGAAAGTCCTAAAGTATAATGTTTATATCATCACCTAGAGGTATGTAGTATGATTCAGTGTGAGGATTATCAAGTGATATATCAGACAACCTATTGGAAAACAATGAATCAGGAAACATTTAAGTAAGCCAGATCTTTAATGATTTTGGTTTGATTTTCCAGATTCTTCCCCTTGCCCTGTTGAGTGCCCTCGTGTTCCTGAGGGACCTTATTTACTCCCATAGCTTCTGCCATCATTTCTGCCTTTTTGGGTCCCAAACATATATCTCCAAACATATATCAGAAATAGCCATTCATTGCTCAAAACCTGCATTTCCTAGCTGTGCTTTACACTGGCATTTTACCCCTGCATCTCAAACACGTTATCTTTTACCTCACATTTGGAATATGAAGGAATTCATGCAAGAAATATCAGTAGGAAAAATCTGGCAGAACTTGCTAAGGGACTGACTAGAAAGATAGAGAAGGCCAGGTGTGATGGCCCATTCCTATAGTCCTAGCCACTTGAGAAGCTAAAGCAGGAAAATTGCTTATATCTAGGAGGAGTTCAAGGTCATCTTGGGTAATATATTTGAGACCCTGTCTCTTAAAAAAAAAAAAAAAAAAAAAAAACATTTCACTATTTTGAATAAGATGCCCCAATTTTTAAAAAAAGAAACACAGTTGGGGGGGAGGGAATCAAAGATAAGATTAAAATGTGAAGGGTTTAAGACTAAGGGAATGATGGTACAAATAACAAAATTAAGGAAAAACTTTCTGTGGAGGAAAATCTTCTTTCATATGTTGATAGAAAAATAAAATGTCAGATGATCTAAGTTGAACAAACTTGAGATTTATTTTGGAGAAAAAGGATTCTCTTAAAGGCTCTAAAGACCTAGCATGGTTCAAATCCTAGTTCTCTATGTATGCTTACTGGCCTTGTGTCTTTGGATTAGCCAGAAAACATTTGTAGCTCTTGTATAATGTGCCTCTGTTAAGTTACTCTGTGTGTGTGTGTGTGTGTGTGTGTTGTGCTGGGGATTGGACCCAGGGCCTTGTGCATTCGAGGCAAGCATTCTACCAGCTGAGCTATATCCCCAGCCCTGTTAAGTTACTCTTGATAAATTACTTTGGGTACTGTTGGTTACAATGGGGAAAAATCAAATTTTTTAAAGTTTCAATTTAGGTGTTTTGTGCAGTTAAGCTTTGAGGATTGCTTCGTATATATTTGGTTACATAATCAAAACTCCACATATATAGCCACTTATACTAACTTCTAATGTTTCACTTTTCTTTCAGAGATGAAGAATTTTCTGTGAGTTCAGTCTTGGCCTCTGATGTTATTCATGCAAGTCGAAAAGATATACCCTGTATATTTAGAGTAAGTGTGTTCTACAGTTTGATCACTGAATTATTTGTCTTTAATGAATATGTTTTTCCTCTTTATGTAAATCATAAGCCAAATCTAATATTTCTATGTTCAATATCATCTGATACTTGCATTTATGCTAAGTTTAACTAAGGAAAGATCTATAGAAAATATAAATACATGGCTTCTAAAATATGTTCCCTAACAGGTAATATTTTTTAGTCCAAATTCAGTTTTCAAATAAAGATTCCTTCTTGGAAAATTAAATAAGTGTGAGGTTTCTCAATTTTTTTTTTTTAAAGAAGTTTCTCTCTTTAAATATCTCATTTTAAAATCATGCTTATTTCCTATTACCTTGTAACAATGGTCCCACATCTTAGAAACTTAAACCAACAACATTTTATTATTTTCATCATTCTGTGAGTCAGCTGTACAGTTCTCATGGTGTTAGTTAAGATTACTCATGGGACTGCATTCAGCTCTTTTGGAGCTTAGAATACCCAAAATGACCTTGTCCTTATGTCTGTGGCCTTGGTGCTAGTTCTCTTCATTGACTTTCTGTATGGTCTCTTAACAATTTGATAGTCTAACTGAACTCACAATGGCTGGCTTCCAAGAGACCAAAAGAAGCAGCTGGGCCTTATAAGGACTAGACCCCAAACAGGCATAATAACCCTTCTGCATTCCATTGATCAAAGGAAGTTATGAGGTCATCCCAGATTTGAGGGGAAAGGAAATGGATTTGACTTGTTAATAATAATAGAAGAATGGAATTCTATAGTAGGGAATTGTTGATAGCCATCTTTCAAGGCTGTATACCAAAATGTGATCTTAAAATGGTGAATTAAGACAATAGATATTTTTTAAAGCTGCCCTGTTATGCCTGTCTGCATACTATTTGTCTATGAATTTTATGTCCCAGGAAGGTCAAAGACAATAACCTTGTCTGATTTCTTGGTTCCTACACTGGTAACTATTTCATTCTCCCTCTGGCCACCAAGAGAGCCTATAGAGCCTGCTTATCAATCATCAATTTGCAGTGTGCTTTTTATTGTCATTGATGCTTAAATTACTTTAAGAAGAAATCTGTATGTATAAAATTCAAAACTGTTCTGATCATGATTTGTAGAAGGATGAACTTCCATTTAAACCCTTTCTGGTGCTCTCATCTTCTTTAATAATAATGTGAGTTATTTTTATAAAGTAACAGAACATAAATATTTCCTAGCATTCCTGACTTTTCAAAACAGTATGGTATAGCGCTTAAGAGCATTCACACAGGATCCCAGACCTCTAGCTGTTTGCCCTTGTAGAAATTATTTAATCTCTTTATCATGGCTTTATCATATGTAAAATGAAGTTATAATAACAATTTCTATCTCATGAAAATGTTAAGAGGTTCAATTTGTTAATACTTGTGTTTAAATCTACTCAGTAATTACTCTTAAATGTCAGTTGTTATATGAGTATATGTAACACATTTTTTATTATAATGTTCTGGCACCTTTATAGCAAGGAAGATGAAAAGTCAGGAATGCTAGGAAATTTTATGATTTTGATTGGTGTCTCCTACCTTTGCCTTGGCAATAATCCTAGTGCTAGAACTAGTTATTCCGATTAAGTATTGCTAAATTCTATTAAAGGGATCATTTAATGAATTCTCATTTTGTTGGTGAGTGCTAAGCAAACTAGTCTCCTCACAAAACTAGCCTACTTATGAAACTAGCATAAAGGGTATCTGTTTTCTAATATAATGAATATTGATTAAATTCTTCTAGGTCACAGCTTCCCAGCTGTCAGCATCCAATAACAAGTGTTCAATCCTGATGCTAGCAGATAGTGAGAATGAGAAGAGTAAGTGGGTGGGAGTGCTGAGTGAATTGCACAAGATACTGAAGAAAAACAAATTCAGAGACCGCTCAGTCTATGTTCCCAAAGAGGCTTATGATAGCACTCTACCCCTCATTAAAACAACCCAGGCAGCTGCAATCATAGGTATGAATTTATAACATTTATCATATTATTATAATTGTTTACTGATCTACCTTGTGAGCTGGGGACTGGCTTTCATCTAGGAATCCCCACTGTCCAGCATAACATGAATTATATCATAGATGTTCAATAAATGTTTATTAAGTGAATGAGACCTATTAGATTTTTATTTTTAAGCAGTTACACTAAATACATTCCCTTCTGAAAAAGTGATATTACTAAAGACTAACTTAATAATCCATTTTCTACTTATGTGAACTAGAATAAATTAATTTCTTAAAGCATAATTTTCACATGTAATGCATAAGATACTAATTACCTTGCTAATGTTATTGAGAAATTTTAAAATCATGGTATATAAACACATAGTACTCTGCATTAAAAAGCCCTCAGTAAACAGAAGCTTCTGAATCTGGAGATTTAAAGTTTTGCTACATTCTTACATACATATCCATATCTTTTGTTACTTAGGGTTCAATACTTGTGTTAAAATACCTGACACAATCTTTTCCTCCAAAAACAATATATTGAACTGGACCTAGGGTACTAACAAAGTAGGTTTTTAATTGTTTTTCATAATTTATTGAATAAACAATTACTTATTTTTGTAGGTATTGACATGGGATATTTTTTAGTGATTTTTCTATTTTAAAACACATGATAAATTTATCACTGGTAATCTGAAAGAAAATTTCATAGTGTAAATTGTTACTGTATTATGATTATTTACTTATTTTCATTTTTGCACCTCATTTTCTTATTTCTGTTTTATTGTATTAGCTTTATATGGCTTTTAGCTAATAAAATTGTCTCATATTTGTGTTTTACACAGATCACGAAAGAATAGCTTTAGGAAATGAAGAAGGGTTATTTGTTGTTCATGTCACCAAAGATGGTAAGAGAAAACCTAATCATTTTAGAGTAACTTTAAATCATATGTTAGAAAAATTTTGCTCAAGTCTAAATTCTAAAAAGAGTAGGATTTGCTCTTACATATTCTATAAATGAAATTTTCCAGGCACAATTTGATATATTCTAAAATCAAAAGATTATTTTTTAATTTTTATAATTCTCCTAAGCAAGTGTATATTATCTTTCTTATGTCATCTTATTTAGCAGTTCTGCTATATGAACTCATATTGTACTTCAAAGGTGGCACATGGAAAATTTTTTGAGTTTTCCTAAAATTAGTATATTATCATAATTAGTCTTATTAGAAGGTAATATAAATTATAACAACTATTAAAATATGCTTATTGGAAGTCCTCCCACCCCCACTGTAATACAACAGGTTTATTCATTCTTTTTGCAGGGTGAGAAAGAGGTGGTTACTGTGTGTTGAACCCAGGAGTGCTTTACTCCAACATTTTTGGTTTGTTTATTTTTGAGATAGGATCTTACTAAATTGCTGAGGCTGGCTTGAACTTATGATCCTCTGCCTCAGCCTCCCAAGACAATGGGATTACAAGCATGCACCACCATGCCTGACCAACAGTTTTTTTCCTACAGAAAAATTAAATGCTGGGTGAAATAGAAAACAATTTAATTTGATATTTATAAATATAATATTCTAAGTTCTAATTTTATATCAAGTTTTATCATGACAAATTAATTCATTTAAATGTCATTGGTTTGATACCATAGAAACACTTTCAGAGTAACTAGTAGTTATGCGGTTACCCAGTTTTTAAAAATAGCAACCTCACGGTGAAATTCCCTACAGTTTAGTACCAATAAAAAAAGTTTTCTTGGGCTGGGGATGTGGGTCAAGTGGTAGCGTGCTCGCCTAGCATGCATGAGGCACTGGGTTCGATTCTTAGCACCACATAAAAACAAAATAAAGATATTGTGTCCATCTGAAAAAAAAACTTAAAAAAAAATATTTAAAAAAAGTTTTCTTAAAAACTGGCATGCTTTCAATTAAGAACTCTGCCTTGACTGTCAGAGATCTGTGCCAAATTTAATATAGGAAAGTTAAATGATTTTACAATGGGTTTTAATATCTTTCTTTTTCTCTGTAATTTCTGATCTCTTATTCTATGTGTACCTCTCCATCTTTAAATAAAGATGACTTATATACTTCTGAGTATAATTTGGATGACTTATAAAACTATTTTGCATTTGATTTGTTATTTCTGCATGTAGAAATTATCAGAGTTGGTGACAATAAGAAGATTCATCAGATTGAACTTATTCCAAATGATCAGCTTGTTGCTGTGATCTCAGGACGAAATCGTCACGTACGACTTTTTCCTATGTCAGCTTTGGACGGGCGAGAGACAGATTTTTACAAGTTGGCAGAAACTAAAGGGTGTCAAACTATAACTTCTGGAAAGATGCGCCATGGAGCTCTTACATGCCTGTGTGTGGCTATGAAAAGGCAGGTTCTCTGTTATGAACTATTTCAGAGCAAGACCCGTCACAGAAAATTTAAAGAAATTCAAGTCCCATATAATGTCCAGTGGATGGCAATCTTCAGCGAACAGCTCTGTGTGGGATTCCAGTCAGGATTTCTAAAATACCCCTTGAATGGAGAAGGAAATCCATACAGTATGCTCCATTCAAATGACCACACACTATCATTTATTGCACATCAACCAATGGATGCTATCTGCGCAGTTGAGATCTCCAGTAAAGAATACCTGCTGTGTTTTAACAGCATTGGGATATACACTGACTGCCAGGGCCGAAGATCTAGACAACAGGAATTGATGTGGCCAGCAAATCCTTCCTCTTGTTGTAAGATTCTCTTTCTTATGGCTGTCTTTATCTTCCTGTCTCCTTCCTTTTCTTTTTCCTTCTACTTCAATTAAACATTGTCATTGTTAATAACAGGTTATATTTTTTAGAATGATTCTGAAAGTTTTCCTTAGTATTAATTATGTTGTTTATGTAAAGTAACCATATGTAGTTAGGCCTAAGCAAATAGAGTCAATATTAACATGCACATAATGAAAACTAATTTTTCTATGGAATATTTTACTGAAATGGAATTTTTTTATCTTGTGTTACTCATTTTTAAATAACTCAAGTAGCTCTTTTCATTGTTCTCCAAAATACAGTGCTCATAAGTATAAGTAGCACTTATTCTTGAGAAGTAATTACTAAGTGAATTATTTAGTAGGAAAAGAAAAATGTAGTTCTCTAAGAAGTGTTATTCAGTTTTATATGTTTATCTAGATGGGCAGATATTTAAAGTTGCCTATTTCATTTTCAAGAAATATTAAAAATAAATTATTGTATAGTTTTATTGCTACGTAATAATTTATTTATTACTGAATACATGCCATGTCACTGTATGAAATAGTGAAGTAGTCTACCTTCTCAGAGTATAGAGTGCAGTAGAAAATATTCATGTCACAACTAGGAGTTTCAGTAGAAATGTATGCTATAATACCTGAAGTGAGAGTTCAATAGAAGCTTGTAATAGGAATATCTAACCCAAATTCTTTTGTTTGCAATGGAAGATTCTTGAGCATGTTTGAATGCTGAAAGGAAGAAACCATTAGGGAACCACTTGGAGAAGTTGACAATCTGGGAAATACAGAAAACAGTCAGATCCCCAAGAAGGCAAATGAGGATAAATTCAGAACACAGGTGGAAGACTACTCAGAACAGGAGGAGTGAAATCTCTCCCATTGTAATGTTAAGACAGGAATAAGAAGGAATGGTGGGAATGAGTCCTGTCAGTTCTAAAGGTTCTGTTAAAAAAAAAAAAAAAATTAAAAGGACTATTAAGTCTTATTACAGAAAAATTAGGAAACCTAGATTAAAAAAACAAACAAAAAATAACCTATAATTCTACCCACTTAGATTTAATTTGTGGCCCAAGGGGTGGGGAGTGTGCCAGGGACTGTACATCAGATTTAACTATTTTTAAAGTCTTATTTCTCCTGGATGTCAGATTCAACTACTTTTAATGTTTTATTTTTTTTTCTGACATATATGCTCTCATTTATAGCTTAATATATAGAATGAATACTGTTTGTAACTGAGTTCCATAGTCCAAAATATCCTAACATGAAGTAAAAGTTGGACTATCTGACTTTTATTTATAACTTTGTCAATAATGCAGTTCATAACCTTAGTTTACACACTCATTTACTCTTTCTTTGCTCATATTGCCATTTATTAATATTCTTCCAAGAAATATTTATTGAATATCTAAACTATTCATGTAATTGTGCTCTGGTAATTTATCATACATTCATATTTGGGGGTAGAACACTTACCTGAAGATTTCTCTACTTTGTAAGTTTGTTTCACTGTTAATAATTTAACTACTTTAAGAGTCAGACACTTTTAACATGTAATGAAATTGCTTTATTAGCTAGATGTTAATAGAATTCTTCTGTAATAAATAAATAATTTATGTTCTCTTTATTTCAAAAATATTTTAATGTGGTTCTTATATGATAACAATAGGCTTTTGGTGGGATTCTACTCTACAGTTATTTAAGACAGAACTTTCAAAATTATTTGGGCTTAATAGTTTAAAATAATCAGTAGGTTGTCCCTTCCTTTCCTTTTCCCAGGTTACAATGCACCATATCTCTCAGTGTATAGTGAAAATGCAGTTGATATCTTCGATGTGAATTCCATGGAATGGATTCAGACTCTTCCTCTCAAAAAGGTAATTTGGCATTAAAATATGAGCTGAGCTGGCTAATTTTTGATAGGTAGCTAAACTCCATACTATTCATATTACATTTAGTTTCTCTGATTGTGAACTTGACGAGCAACTAGAATATATCATACAACCTAAAATGTCAATATTATCATCTATTTTGAGATTAAAGAGCTTCAGGAGAGTATGTGATTATTATTAATCATAACTTTTTCACATAATGGTATGCAATGTTTAATCCTGCAAAGACAGATTTCATGAATAGGGAAGTTATTCAACTTGGAACTGAAATTGTTTAGTTGAGTCATGATTGATTTAGAAATAGAAGTGTTCCATATTACTAATAAAACATAATATTTTCCCTTAATATTCCTCTATTGTTTCCATAACAAAAATTTTACAAGTATGGAACTACTGTTTTGCAAAAATAAGATTACCTCTAGATAGGGAAGAGAGGTGGGAGGGAAAGGGAGGGAGAAGGGGAATTGCATGGATTATGGAAGGAGACCCTCATCGTTATACAAAATATATGTATGAAGATGTGAGAAAAAAAAAAGAATAGCGTTACCTTAGATTAGGTAGAGAGAAGTGATGGGAGGGGAGGGGAGGGGTTGGGGGATAGGAAGGATAGTAGAATGAAACAGACATTATTATTACTATGTATATATATGTGACTGCATGACCAATATGATTCTGTAACCTGTACACTCAGAAAAATGAGAAATTATACCCCATCTAATTCAAATGTATGATATGTCAAGGTCATTGTACTGTCATGTGTAACTAATTAAAACAAATTTTAAAAAAGAAAAGTACTATTTTCATATAGACGTATATAGTATATTTAGAATGTACATCATTGGTAAAATGATAGGACTAGGTGAAACAAAGTAGCCAAGATCATATTTTATAATGTGTCCAATTTTAAACCACATCAATAGTGAAAAACAACTCTTGTAAGTATTGCCACATTATATAAAGCAACTAAAACGTGGTCCTCTATTTTATAAATTTTGACTGACTCTACTAAGTTTTCTGGGGTTTTTTTGCCATGTAATTTGCAATATATATGTTATCTTTATGAAGCATATTAATAAGCTGATCACTTGTGAACCCACCTCCCTTTTTGATACCTCAGCCCTTCCCTCAGAAAGTCAGTATCCTGAATGTCATGCTTATTGTCCCTATGCTTTCCTGAAAATACAGATTTTTGCACATTTAAATATTCCTAAACAACATATTATTTAGTTTTGCTTGGTTTTGAGATCTATTAAAATATTGTGATATATTGTCACTTTTTACCTTTGTTTAACTCATTTACTGGGCTTCAAAGATCTATACCTGTTGCTACCTCTACTGTGTAATTCATTGTGTAAATTCATTGTGTAAAATAGCCTACTTGCTATTTATTCATTCTCTGATTAACAGACATTTTAATTATTTTCTAGCTTTTGCTCTTGTGAATGTTGCTGCATATTATCTGGGGTAGATGTGCAAGAGTTTAAGTCATATATCTAGGAATGGAATTGATGAGATTCTTACCCACATCTTCTCTAATACCTGTTGTTGTCAGCATTCATAGTTTCATAAATGGTTTCATAAAATGGTATCATATTGCAGTATTAATTTGCATGCCCCAGTTAACTGTGTGGTTGGGAGTCTTTTCTATATCTATTCATCATTCGTATTTCCTTTTCTGTGAAATGCCTGGTCATGTTTTTTGCTCATTTTTGCCATCTTGTTGATTTATTCTACTTCTTTATGTAATATGTCCTGTTTCAGTAATGCATGGTAAATCTTGTTCATTTGTGACTTATGGGTTTATTTTTCAGAACAGAAGTTATTGTTTACTAATTTTACTGTAGTTAAATGTACTTTCCTGTTCTTTAGGTTTGTTTTTTTTTTTCTCTTTAAGAAACTTTTCCTAGCTTAAGGTCATAAAGATGTAACCTTTGTTTCCCTCCAAATGTTTTGAAATGTTGCTTATTATATGTCTATCTTTAATCCATTTGTAATTGATTTTTTTTTGCTTGTAGTATGAAATAGGGATTCTGTTTTATTGGTTTTATGTAATGTGTTGCTCCATTATCATTTATTAACAATTCTTCCTTTTCCCAGTCATCTGTACTTTTATCTTTATTATATGTAGATCAAGTATTTGATGATAAGAGCTCATAAAGCAACTATTGATATCTTCTTAATGTAATTATTTGGTCACTGATAGCTTTAAAAGGTCAAACTTAAGGTTTAAATGTATTTCTACTTAATTTTATTTATTTGTCCAGGATATTCTTTCTTTAAAATGTTATCATTATAAGTTTGTTTGTCCAAATCAGATATAATGCCTTCACAATCAGAATTATTAGCATTTTGGGTTTTTTCTGAAAGGACTGTATTTTGAAGTATATAAATAAAAGATCTTAATAATATATGCTTTATGTACAGGCCAAAAGTTTTATGATTTAATTTATAAAAGTTTTGTTGAAGTACTTATTTTATTTTTTATTATTTTAGGTTCGACCTTTAAACAGTGAAGGATCTTTAAATCTTTTAGGATTGGAGACAGTTAGATTGATATATTTCAAAAATAAGATGGCAGGTAAGAAAACAGAACATTAATAGTAATAGCTTCAATGGAAATATTATTTTTCTTCTGACTGCCCAATGTCATATGAATAATGAGTGCTAGAGTACAGATTTAAAATCTTATATATCTTCCTCTAGAGTGTGTGATCTTGGCCACATACTGTTAATATATCCAAGACAGATTATTGGGCAAAAGTGATTCTATTTAAACTGTCATAGTTGATTTAACAAAGTATTTCATTCTGACATGCCTTGTTATTTTTCTGGGGTATACCTAGGTAAGCAGAGAAAGTGTAGCTGAATATACTTCTGTACTTAAAATACCATAGAACTTAAACAAAATTTGTGGCATTAAAATTAAGGACATTCATTCAGAATTCCATCTGCGGACTTCAGGAACCCATCTTTTGCCAATGCAAAGGGCTTAGTACTTCTAAAGTACTGATGACAACTTAGAAGCAGAGAAAAGAGGAAAGTCATAAAAGTGCCTAGAATCAGAAGAGGGAGCAGGAACCCTGGGGGTTATAAACAAGAGAACAGCATTTGGTCAGTGACCAAGTAGTAAGCTAAGATTGTCAAACCTGTGATTAATAGACCATATGTAAAATGCCATAGTCTATACATGTAGAATTAAATGTTGTTTGCCATTAATGTGAGGCCAGACAGTTAAAATCTCACTTTTAACAAATAGTGTGCTTTTTTCTATATAATAAAATCATTCTTATGTCAGCAACAAATATTTTCCTAACACAGGTATTCATAAATCTCTGCTCTTTTGTGGTAGAACTATTTAATGAAGAGGCACTTAATGATATATTGTGTATTTAAAGTAATATTTGAATTTACCTAAATATAAGTAAAAACATTGGCCTCAAGGAAATGTTAAAATGTTTGTACCTGTTATCTGAAGGTCATGAGATTATCTTCTTAATGCTTTTTGCCCCTCATATTCCCTCAATAGTTTTTTATGTTCTACTGTAATAGAAATCCATCAAAAGCTTATGTTTATTGTTTTTGTTTGTTTTGATTTTAAGTAATGAAATAATTGTTTGGTTTGTGGTTCAGTGCTTTGTTAATAGCTGTCTGTGTTAAAATGGTATACCTTTATGGTATGATTTGATAAAGGACATTCAAATTTTAGGCATGATTCTCAATCATGAAGCTAATGAAACTTAAGTTTCAGGTTTCCAAGACCCTATACTTAATTTTGTGTTCTGTTTCTTAGAGGAGCTTCACATATTTGTATAAAATTGGATCCACTCTGTTCTCACCGTATTTAATGCTGGTCATTAAATTTCCTTATATCCATGTTGTATCTGTAGGACAAAACCTATTCCACATGTCTCTTCCCATGCTTTCATCTTTCTGCTTCAGGCTAGGAATGGAGGTAGAACTCTTGAGAAAGGAGACCTGACAGGTTTCAATATCTTATTATTTGAGAAAGGAGGGAAATCCCATTTCCAAGAGGTTCCTTCTTTTTCTCTCTCTTGCTTTTCCCTCCTGCAGAAGGGACAAATGCTCCTTTGCCTTCTGGCTGCCCCACGTCTCTTGTCACCACCATAACTCAAAATTCCTGCTTTATCCTCATAATTCTCATATTCTAGAATGATGTCCCACATTCTCATCTACATTAAAGTCTATCCTTTTAATATTTGTTGTTGAGAAAATGATCTGATTAAGCAACATTATTATACCACAAGGAATGTGTTGCTTTTGTGGTAATTTTCTATTTTGGCTTGTCTTATAGGCCCATTTGCCTTCTTTCAGCCTTTTTCTTCTTGCTTCAGCTTTACAGTGTCAAAAACTTGTAAAGATTGGCTTTTTTCCTTTTTCCTTATCTTATTTAGATAATGGCATACCCTGCCTGCCATGTTATATGGATAACTGTTGTCTTTTTACAAAAGACACAAAGACACAAAGCCCAGCAGGTTTTTAGAGTTCCCAGTTTACAATTGTTTCCTTCCAGATGTTAAAATTGAAATGGGACAAGATGGTCACCTGGTTGCTAGGAGTATACAATTATATAGTATCCACCTTCAAGATAAGAAGATCAGAAGATTAGAATAGTGACAGATCCTTCAAAAGGAGGATAATGGGGAACACAGACCTTTCCTTATTCCACATCTCACAAGAAATTTTTATTATGTAAAAATAATTTTAATTATTTACATAAATAGCTTGCTATTTATGCCTGATTACACATTAATAATAGCATCTTTTGGGGGCTGGGACTATAGCTTAGTGGTATAACTCTTGCCTACCATGGGTTCTATCTCCATCACTGCACACAAATTAAAATAAATACCACAAAACCCCCATAATAGCAACTTTTTAATATCCTAAGCTACTAAACCCACTGATAGGTAGGTATGAGAGAAAATAGTATAGAAATATTGGGGTGAATTGGCTCGTCAAAGGGACAGGACATCAAGGCAATTACAGTTTTCTTCTAGCAAAATTGTGTCATGTTTATAATGAAATAGAAGTGAAAATGTAAAATGTATTTTGCTAGTTATGTTTAATTTTTATATGTATATATATATATATACATATATATATATATATATATATATATATATATATATTTTATGGCACTAGGGATTGAACCTAGGAGTGTTCTACCTCTAAGCTACATCCCCACATTTTATTTTTGTATAATATATGAAATTTTGTTATTAATATATGAAAATAATATTTACATAATACTACATAAATATAAGCATATATATTTTTACATGTCCTATTGAAAATTATTGCTGCCAGGTGTGGTGGTCCATGCGTATAATCCCAGCAACTTAGAAACTGAAGCAGGAAGATCCTAAGTTCAAAGCCAGCCTGGGCAACTTAACTTAGCAACTCTCTGTCTCAAAATTAAAAAAAAAATATATATATATATATATATTTAAAGGGCTGGGGATCTAGCTCAGTAACAGAGTACTCCTGGGTTCAATTCCCAGTACCACACAAACACTCTATTATTGCTTATTTACTATGATTATCAATGCATGACTTTTAAAATTCAGAATTACCACCTGTATAATTGTGCTACCATGGAGATTAATGGCTAAAAAAGCAATTTAGTAATTTAAACAGCACCATTTTTTAAAAAACAGAAGGGGATGAGCTGGTGGTTCCTGAAACATCAGATAATAGTCGGAAACAAATGGTTAGAAATATCAACAACAAACGACGTTACTCCTTCAGAGTCCCAGAAGAAGAAAGGATGCAACAGAGGAGGTAGATATATAATTTGTACTTATTGTCCATCTATGCTTCTAGCATCTGAGGGACTATCTGCTAATAATACTATACTTGATTTGGAAAGACAATTTGGTATCTGAAAATCTATTATTCATAAATGGTATCAAAAACTGCAGGACTAGGAGTATAGCTCAGTGATGAGTGTGTGTTTGCCTAGCATGTGCAGGGCCTTGGATTTGATCCCCAGCATCACAAAAGGAATTTAAGGGGAAAAAAAAAAAAACCCTAAGTGCAATTATGACTGTAACCTCTCAGTGTCATTTTAATTAATAATCTAAAAGTTATGTGAATACACCGAATTAAGTACCATATTTTGATCCTCTTAGGTAGGTTTATGAAAGAGTAATAATTTGGGGGATGTATACTTTTCTACAGTACAAGCTTAAATCATATCTGTGCATATAGTAAACCTGTATATGTTTAAGAAATCTACATTGTTTTCTTCATGAGCAAACAGAAATAGGCATATAGCATTTTCAGCTACATTTAAAAACATTTCTAAAATGTTATAAATTATTTTAAAAGATACCCATGAAATGTTGAGAATTATCTGTAAAAAACCAGCAGAAGTTCCTTGATATCTAAATATGAATAGACCTGTTGGGGGCTTGGATCTGAAGCTCACTTGCCTAGTATGAGCAAGGCCCTAGGTTCAATCCCCAGTACTAAAAATATAAATAAAAGGATCCTCCCTCTTTCCTACTCCAAATCATAATATCTTTTATTTAAAATTAAAAACATTTTAAGGAATTGAATTATTAATTGAATCTATTCTATTATTCTAATTATATCTTTATTAGCATGATTTAATCATTTTAAAGACAAAAATAAAGTATGTATAATTTTTTTCTTATCTAGATTTACTGTGTAAAAAATATTTACATGGTTTTTTTTTTTTTTCCTTACAGGGAGATGCTGCGGGATCCAGAGATGAGAAATAAATTAATTTCTAACCCAACTAATTTTAACCACATAGCCCACATGGGACCTGGAGATGGAATACAGATTCTAAAAGACCTACCTATGGTAAGAGAAATGAATGAAGAGTGAATATTAATGTGAATGGGGTGATAAGTAAGTGGGAGATATATGAGGGAAAATACATATATATCAGCATATATATGTAGACAGGTTTCACAGGACATATTAGTATAATGAGGAGATGGTTCTCTTATTATATTACAATATGTTAAGATACATGATGATATATATATATACCTGATGATAAAAGCATAAATTTAGAAATCTGTCAAAAAACAAATAAATCAAGTTCTTATTTAGTTCTATACCCTAGAAATTTCTCCCTAAATCTGTTGTTGGTGGTGGGAAAAAAAAAAAAAAAACCTGCTATGTTTGGGGACATTATAAATCAATTTCAGAACTTGGTTACCAAATCACTAAAATTTCACTAAGTTCCTTACAGGCATTTGGCCTTTTTTTCCCTTAAGATCCATATTAGCTTGTCAGTAATGGTCACACCTCTCAGCTAACTGTGAAATTAAATCGTTTTGCCCAATTACAAACTGGTCACTTGTACATAAAAAGTACAACATAGAAAAACGGTTGTGTTTTTAACAATATGAAGATCAGATTCTCAGATCTATTGAAATCAAAGATTTTAGTAGAATTAGCTGATTATCCTGGCTCTGTTCTTAACACTTCAGTACCACATATACTCAGCAATTTATAAAACTTTAATATTGCCCTTCTGATCAGTGGAGATGGCAGCAGAACTTTGCACATATTTTTAAATATAGTTTTTATTTTATGGCAATTTGAGAGAGATGATTTATAAATCTCTCCCCAAATCTCCCACTAAGGAAATCTGTCTCAACCATGTTACCCAACAGTGCTATGATGGAAGAACTGAGAAAATAAGTAATATAGTTTGTGCACTCAAATGTTTTAACATAAAAAAATAATTTAATAAAGGAAATTTTTACATTTATTTCATATGGGGAGGAAAAAAGCTTGCATTCACTTGTATCTGAGTACTTTGTAGTAAGTAAGCCCAACTAATCAGCTGGCTCTGCTTTTTCTGCTGTTATTTTTTTTTCATCATTAAGACATTATATTAAGCATGCAGCCAGGTATGGTGGGGCATGCCTCTAATCCCAGTGGTTGGGGAGGCTGAAGCAGGAGGATTGCAAGTTCAAAGCCAGCCTCAGCAACTTAGTGAGGCCCTAAGCAACTTGGCGAGACCCTGTCTCAGATAAATAATAAAAAACAGGCTGGGGTTGTGGTTCAGTGGTTCAATCCCTGAGTTCAATTCCTGGTACCAAAAAAAAAAAAGAAAAAGTATGCAAAAACTAGATTACATATAACCTTTGTATAGAAGTAAAAAAAAAAAAAAAAGGTCAAGCACATTAAATATTAAAACTGTTCTACTTGTTTATCATATTTAAAAGTTATACTCTTTTTTTCAACATTTACCTGGAGTCAGATCTCAAGACTTCTCTCCGTTCTTTTCCCATCTTGAACATTTACTTCAAGTCCTCAGCCTGGTTTTCTTTTAGTATCAGAAGTAAAAGTAACATAACCACGCAGTCCCAAGCCTCTTGGTCCCCTCTTCCCATAGAAGTTACAATATCAGACACAAAATATCCTAAGAGAGAGTTTTTTTTAATTATGATAAACAGTTGAAATGTGAGTATATTTATAGCTTATATTTGGAAGATCAAATGCTATGTATTATTTTAATTAAATAATTAAACATTTTTTGCAATTTATTTTGTCAATAGTTTTTTTCAATATATGGTACATAATTAATGTTATGGAGGGATAGAGGCATGTATATTTCAGACGCATGTATTGCAGAGCAACACACAAGCTAATACAAAATTATTTCAGTAAAGTTTTGATAGGTTATTATTCTTTTAAAATTAAAATCTCTTTCCTTTTGTTCCATTTTGGTGTACCAAAGAAGAATATTTATCATGTCTTATATTCCAACAATGCAGCAAGAAGAATTATAGAAAATTTTTGTAGAAATTCTATTATATCCTGTTTTCCTTAAGATTATGTCTATATTCAATAAGATGTTACTTTGCCATCAGATGATAGCAAAGTCTCTTTGCTAATGTACCAGGGTTCTTTCAGACCCTCATATACAATATGCACCCTGATTTCAAGTATCATAAGAAATTTCATATCAGAGTATTTGAATAATTCTTTACTTTTTCTCCCCTCACCCTTCCACCACTTAAAGTAAAATCTATATTTTACTTTTTGTTTCAATATTTTTTTTTTTACTAATCAAAACAAGTCAAGTAACATTTTCCAAAGATTCATCCCCAATTCACTCCATAACACATGATCTTTGGTGCTGACTACTGACTCTAATTAGACCTTTTGATTTTCAGGGTATATGGTCACCTGATTTTGTTAATCTGTGGCCACCTTGTTGGTTCTTTTAGGCATTAACACAAGTGACTTTTTTGCCCTCCCTATTCAATCCAGTTTTTAATGTTCCTTCCTTTCCTTTAATGTTTTCTTTCCATGTAAGAGATTTTTTCCAGGACAGAAAATTTGGTGTAAATTTTTGAAACCTGTTTCTTCACATGTATATGTAGTATGCATCAAAGATTTTGTGTGTTTGAATTCTTGTTCTTCATGGTTATGTTATTTTCGTATGAATGTTCTCATTCATTACCAAAAGACATCTGAGCTGGGGCTTTTGATATCCATTCAGTTACCTAACTGGTATTTCTTGAGCACATATTATGTTTCTGGGACTATGCTTATTTGGGGCTAGACATTAGTAAACTATAATAATTTGCATGTCCAGAAATAATAATAGTTTTCATGCCTGTATGTTTTGTACATATCTTCCCATTGAAAAGCTTATGATCTTTTCATGTTCTCGGATTTTAATATGTTCTTTTCACTGAAATGGAACTACAAAAAAATTTTCCAAAAAATACAGATGAATTAAATTCAGCTATTAACATATAAGTGCTTTCATGTATTGTTGCCATCAGTGCAAAGAACATGTGCCCGAGACATTTTTATGTTTCAACTCATTCAAATCAGAATTGCTTTCCTATGAAGTATTTATGAACTTAGAAAGTTTATTAAATGTCTTTAAAAGCTTAATTCTGTTTCTTTCATACTAAATGATCCTGAAATCGAATGTGTTTATTTTGTAAATATGGAAGCAACAGTAAGGCTATGGTCATTTTACTTTCTTATTTACTGTATCAGATGCAAACCTTTTTTTTGTAACTTAGCCAAGACTATTCCTAAAATTGTTAATAAAGATAAAACATCTAGTTCAATGACTTCTTTGGATTTTAAGAAGTAATTTTGCTTCTTTGACTAGGAATGTAGCTCAGTGGTAGAGTATGCCAAATATGCACAAAGCCCTGGATTTCACCCCTAGGACTGGTACTCCCCCAAAAGTAATTTTGCTTTTTAAAGTCAAAGTTACATGTGTTATCAATCAGTAGATTTTTTTACTAAAACAACCTGAAAAAATATTAATTTTCCTTATGTCTCAAAAGTAAAACCAGTACTTTATGTAGAATCCATTCTTTTAAACCTAGGTAATTCCTGAGATCTTTTTAAAAAGCAAGTTGTCTCAACTCATGAAAATGCAAATTCCATGTTAGAGTCAATCAGCATTCTCTCCAGCATGTCTTTCTCTCTGCTTCTAATAAAGTGATTGTGTTTTTTTCTTTTTAGTATTACATTACTTCATTTTAAAAAAATATACTGGAACACTGAAGGAAAGATTTACCCTTTTTAAAGACAAATTGCTTTTGGGGGGTGTCTAAATGGAGATAAACTTGGTTGCTTAAAGGTAAACCAATAATTAGTATATCCTATAGTTACACACTATTTTTGTTACAGAGAAATAAGATCAGTAAAAGCAAACACATGTCAAAACTCTAAAAACACAGCACTGGGAAATGGTTTTAAATCTCCCTCACACCAATACTGAGGATTGAACCCAGGGGCACTCAACCATTGAGCCTTTTTCCTAGCTCTTTTTATTTTTTTATTTTGAGACAGAATTTCACTAAGTTACTTAGGGCCTCTAAATTACTGAGGCTGGCTTTGAGCTCACTATCCTACCTCAACCTCCCGAATCGCTGGGATTATAGACGTGCACCACTGCACCCAGCAAATGGTTTTGAACATGTCCAATTAAAAGCTGTTGAAGATTCTCTTGTCCTTCCTTTAAGCATTTCTTACCTTTTCTATCCTTAATACTTTTGGTAAATATTTGTCATATTTTCCTTGTATCACATAAAAAAAACTGAACTAAACTCTGAAAGTCTTGCATTTCTAAAAGTTTAGCTTCTACTCATTTAAACAATAATAATTTAAAATTTTTTAGGAGAATGATCTTTTGCAAGTCAGCTATTTAAATAACTGCAAAAGGATTACAAAAATTAAACTTTCTAAGACCTAAAAGTATTTCATTAAGGATTCAATTCTGATATAAGATATTACTACATTTTTTATATATGCATGTTATCTGAAATGTCACATACAACTCCATTTTCATCACCTTACCACCTTTTTTCTTCTTTCTGTTGTTTTTGATAGCCAGGTTTCCCTTATCCATCCCCTCATCATCACTCCGGTCTGATCTCCTCTCCGATCAACTTTGAGCACATCTATCACATGACTGTTAATTCTGCTGAAAAATTTCTCTCTCCTGATTCCATAAACCCTGAATATTCCCCGTCTCTACGTTCTGTCCCTGGTACACCAAGCTTTATGACTCTAAGGGTATGAACAGCTGAGTCAGGTGTTAACTTGTACTAACCATGTATGGATTTCCTATTGCCTGGCCTAATAACTAGCATTGCCAATATGAAATGGTTTCCTTTGGCCTATTTCTCTTCTGCCAAATTTCTCTTACTTTTTTTTTCCTCCTCTATTGATCTTACTCTTCTTTCTCCTCCTATTCTGTTTTGTTTCTTCTGAAGACAAAGATGGAGGAACAGGGAGGGTTTCATTTTATTTTTGAAATTATATTGGAGCTTTATCTATATTTATTAGAATTTCTTATTGTAGGTATTTTCTATTATAGATACCACTATAAAAAAGTAGCCTTGGGGCTGGAGTTGTGGCTCAGCGGTAAAACGCTCACAAGCAAGGCACTGGGTTCCATCCTCTGCGCCTCATAAAAATAAATAAATAAAATACAGGTATTTTTTTAAGTAGCTAAGTGTACCTTTATTCTTTTCAAACAAACAGAAAAAGGTGTCCTTAATTTTTGAAGGAGCTGTAGCTCATTCTCCTGAAACCAGTTCAATTTGGAGAAATTTTTTATATTTGATGAATTAAAGTCTCAACAGAGCCAGTCTACAGATTTCTATCTATAATAAAATTCATTTTGAAAGGCTTAAAAATCTCCAAAGGAAAAATATAATATTATTAATAAGTAACAGGAAAAAAATCCAAAAATTAAAGAAATTTTTATACAACTTTAAGTTGCTGATATGCATTTAATTCTAACCAGGATCCAAGGTAAGAAAAGCTAACCAAAGAGAGAGAATAGAAAAGAAAAGGATACTGTTCTCCATCCCTTCAATTCAGCCCTATGTCTTTGTTACCAGTGACTTTGCAGTGAGATGGAAAGTGGCTGTTAAACTTAATGTCTGTATTTTTATCAAGTAAAATATGCTTGTACTGACTTCAAGTGAAGTTAATTTTACAGATAATAAAATATTTGGATTGTATCATGCAAATTCATTTCCCATAATGTCGATAGCTTAGAAAAACCATAGCATTGACTTTTTAAATTTGTATATATAGTAATCTTCCAATAAGAAAATTAACTATAGGGTGAAAAGTATAATTTTTGTTTGTATTATAAAATTATTCAAAGTTATGTATTAATGTCATTGACATTAAATTATAATGTCATTTAGGTGCCATTTGATAAAATTAGCCATAATAAAATAAGCCTTGATTTGCTTGTTAACAGGTTTCAGGAAGTGGATTCCAGTGGAATGCTATATAAATTAATCAAAAACTTCTTATACTAAGTTAGTTTTCTTTGCGTAGAACACTGTACCATCAGTTTTACCCTGATCTTAAACATGTTTGTAACTAAAAGACAAAGGTTTCTTGTCATTTCCTAGTGAAGTTTATTTAATTTTAATTGACTGAATGATAAGATGGGTTTTTTTTTTTTTACAAAACATTTTTTATGTGTATCATTCCTTTGTAATTTAAACATTTTGTGTTATTAAGTGGCTAATGGATTTCATAAACTTAATCTTCACCATTTTTCTAGGTTAGGCTTATTTTATAGCAAAGGACACCAGTGTGTCTCGATTCATAGAGAAGACAAATAACAAAATGCACAGCTGGGTACTGATATTCCCATCTCTTTTGAGCTTTACTTGGCTGCCTTTTGTACATGTTGTTTGCATCTTACAGGGCTGCTCTTTCCTGTATGTGTGAATGTTGAATTGCTAGCATTGACTGTTTCGGTTTTATATATTTTATTTCTTGGATTTGAAAAAAGGTAAAGCATTTGCTTTAAATAAATAGCACACTAAGAATTACATGGACTTTGCAAATTCAGTATGTGAAACAAAATGACAGTGGTTGAATTTGGGGCCAACTAGCCAGCCATACAAGAACTATGTATATTTCTTCAAAAATATATGATTTAGAGTTTATCAAGTGGTATTAGTTCTTGTTTTCCTGACTGCCAGCCTTGGCCCTAATGCAGTTGTTTTGCCATAACCTTCTCTCAGGTTTTTCAGGTGCTGATAGGAAAGCTCAGTACTACATACTCAGTCAGAGCCATAGCCTCTCTTTAGAGTCCCACAACTAGATGGTAACTGGAAATTCAGGTTCCAGTTTTAGACTTTTACTATAACCAAAAATGTTTTTTTTTTTAGCTACATCACTACATTTCTTCATTACTTCTTTATTAAACTCAAAAGGCTTAAGTACTTATGCTCATTTCATTACATTCTATGTTGAATTATTTCACCTATGCCATATTACAGCATAGAAGACAACCATCTTTTGCTAAGTGTTAGCATATAAATCAGATTATTTGAAGAACTGCCAAAAACTGTTATTCTGTCTGAATGTTACAAATAAAATGTACTTTATATCTTTAAAGCTCATACACACCTGCACCCACATATGCTTATAATATCAAACCACTGTTTAACTAGAGCACTATGTGTTCTGCAGAAAGAATCGTAATTTGAAATTTATGAATTATATTACTAGCCAAATTAATCATAGTACTTGTAGTAGAATATTGGGATTGCAGATATAATCCATTTGTTTATTCAGTAAATCTTTTCAGTACCTGTTTTAAGTGCTGAAGTTAAATGTGGTCATAATTGTAGTCAGTATAAGAAATGACAAGATGGCTAGAGGAATGATGCTACAAACAGCCATGATCTGCAGGCTTCCTAAACAACCAGGGCAAATTGGACAATCACCCCAATCAAGGTGAAGTCCCCAAGTGGGGGCATTTTTAATTAGGGGATGCCTTCCAGCAGTGTTGTCTTTGTTTTCTGTTTAAAGGGCAGGTGTGAGAAGGTTCAATGAAATAGGTTAAATGCAATTTAAGCAATTAGGCCTTTTGATGAAACTTTTAAAGTAACCAGATAAGATAGGTTTCTGTTAGGTAACATACCATAAACAGTGTACAATTCTCTGATGTATTTTCTTCTTTAAGCTACCAAAAGAAGTGATATTTCCTGAGCCCTACATGATTAAAGAAGATTTATTGGATTTGAAATTATAAAATGAGGCAATGATAACATTTTAAAATATAATAGTTAGTTTTGTGTTCTGCATTTGGAGGGGGAAAAAAAACACAATATAGTACAGTCAGCTTTTCCAAAAAATTTCATTGGCCAGAAACACCAAATTGTTAAATAGTATCTGGTGAGTTCACAGGAGACTTTTTTGGTCTCTTAGGATTTCATTATTAGCAATACCTTTCAAGTCCATGAATGTTACCTTTATAATCAGGAAAAAGCAAATGTTTTTAATGAACTAATTAGTTAGTATTTAGAAAGCTACCAGTTAATAAATGTATTTTCCAATCACTTTTTGTTAATGTTAGTGACTGTGATTATTGTGTTAAGTTCTGAGTGTAGAATTGATAAAGGAGCACCAGAAATAAAGTGAACCTGTAACAGCACATGAAGAGAGCCATCTCCTTTCAGAGGAAAGTAGTACATCTGATTCCGTTAGATTAATTAGCTTCACTTAACAAATTGATCCTTTGGTAAAGTTACAGAATTTGAATTTTTTACTACTTTTTAATGTTGAATTTTTTATTGCATTTTAGAGTTGTAATCTTACCTAATGTGTATAAAATTTGTGATTGCCCCCTTCCAGCAGAATCACTATTTTGATATAACTAAAGGGTAGCTTAATAGTGATACTGCAGATGGCCATTTAAAGTTACTAGTAAAGCAGAGGGAGGAACAGCACATATTGGAACTGTGCCTTGGAGGGGCTTTCCGTTGACTAGTAAAATTACTGTAATCCTCAGAAAATCCCCATGATACAGGTATGAACCCCAGTATGGTCAAGGAAACTGAGGCTCAGGGTTGAGTCACCCTGAAGTCTGCCTTCAGTAGGCTGTAGAGTGCAGATGTGAGCAGTCTGTTTCATCCCTGACCTCTGCTCATTAACTACCAAGCTGCCTGTCTTAACTTGTTGCGATCAGCCAGTGAAGAGAAAGGGAAATCTACTGAAAGAAGACTAGATGATTTTCTTTATATAAATATATATATATACACACATACATATTTCTGTTTGCCAATTATAAGAAATCTAGGGGCTGTAGTTGTGGCAGCAGTAGAGCACTCACCTGGCACGGGCGAGGCCCTGGGTTTGATCCTCAGCACCACATAAAAATAAAATAATGGTATTGTGTCCAACTACAACTAAAACAAAAATATTTTTTTAAAAAAAGAAAAGAAATCTAGACTCTTTGCATCAAAAATGCTTGCAGGAGTTGAGACTATGTCCACAAATAGAGAAGGCATTATGAATGGTAAAAGAGATATGGTGTAACATGGTAGATATAGTTTACCTATTCTAGGATTTGTGAAGGATATTGAAATATTTTCCCATCTTCTGGCCTTTGGTCAGCCCCAGCATTCTTTCCTTCTAGTTTGAAAGGGTTGGGGCCAACAGGGAGTTATTCACACTGACATTCCATAGCTACAGAGTCTCACCAGGTTGTTATATTATCATTCATCAATCTTTCTTTCTTTCTTTCATCATCTTTCTGACTCAGAGAATAGAGGTGACTTGGAGTGTGAACATGTGAATGGCACATTCAGTCTCAGGTTAACAGAGCATTTTGAAGCTGGGGTTGTAGGTCAGTAGTAGAGCGCTTGCCTAGCATGTGTGAGGCACTGGGTTTGATCCTCAGCACCACATAAATATAAATAAATAAAATAAAGGTTAAAAAATATAGAGCATTTTCTTGACAGAATTGTAATTTTAATTGATTTCCTCCAAATGGATTTATTTATTTGGTGTTCCTAAGCAAATAAAAATCTCTTTATCTGCAAATGTCCATGTAATTCTATACTTCACTGTCATGTTTAACCATATAACATTTACTTACCATTTTCACAACCCAAAAAATTATTTATTAATAAGTATTTCAGTATGCATAAGTACTTTTACCTGATTGGGATGAAATTTATGTCATATTATATTTAATTACTTTTGTGGGTGGGAGGGATTATGGAATCTGCTGTATCTTACTCTGTATCATTCTGGTCAAGATATTTTTATTTCTTGATAACTATATTGAAAAGTATACATTTCTGCAGAAAATGTTTCTTTCTGGCTGAAGAATATACCTTTGTTTTATTTTCAGAACCCTCGTCCTCAGGAAAGCCGAACAGTATTCAGTGGCTCAGTCAGTATTCCATCAATCACCAAATCCCGCCCTGAGCCAGGTCGGTCCATGAGTGCTAGCAGCGGCCTGTCAGCAAGTAAGTGGATCAGGCTATGGGCAAATGCTCTATGGCCAGGTAGCTTTTGGGCTGCCTCCTGTCCTATCATTACCACAAGTGACATGCTCTCACTTTCTCATGCCCAGTGTGTTCTACAGTTGTAACAATGTCTCAGATCCTGAGACATTACTTAATGCTTAGTAGGCACAAATGCAGTTGTTAAAAAAAATAGTCCTGGAGTCCTTCTAGAATGTGCAGGCCATCTGGGAGACAGACAAATAGGACTACAAATTACGGTGGTAACTCTGCAGAAAATAAAAGGCACAGTAATAGAGAGTAACAAGGTATAGCTATCAGGGAGGAATTCATACTTAGGATAATTAGGAAAAATCACATCACTTGCTAAAGCTAGGTCATGTTTAAGTAATGTTAATTACTGAAAAAAAAGGCCAGTGCAGCTATATGGTAGTATGGGGAGTGACAAAAATAGAGGGGGAGAGAAATGGACAAATGCCAGATTGGCAGCCTTGGAGACTGTGGTAAGAAATGTTTTATCTTAACTTACAAAATGAAATGGGAAGCCTTTGGAGAATTATAAGTATGGAAGAAACTTCATGTAGTTTACATTTCTAACAGTGACTCTGATTACTAAGAGGAGAAGAGATTCAAAGCAGGCAAGAGTGGAAAACAGCAACCAGATAGCAGGTTCTTAGAGTGGTCCACATGGAATCTGAGCAATTTTAGAGTACTGCTGTTTTAGAGAACAGAGAATGAAGAGAAGGAAATGAATTTTCCAGACACATTTTCAGAGGTAGAAGCAATAAGACTTGATGATGATTAAGTTGTGAGAAAGTAAAGGAGAAATAATAGTAAAGATGGCCCCCAGATTCCTGCGGTAGCCATAGGATGATACCAGTGACTCCCACTAGCAAGGTTTGAAGGGGGCTGGGTCAGGATGTACAAAGATCACTGCATAGGGAAAAGATGAGTATGTTTTATTAACTAAATGAAGTCTGGAAATAGATTAAAGAAACATCTTTAAGATACCAATTCTTGTTAACCTGGTAGGGTAAGAATCATGTACAACCTAGTACTTTCTTTCAAGTGGCTCACAGTTTTTCTTATCAGTCTTTGTGTATGGGGGTGGTACTGGGGACTGAATCCTGGAATGCTCTACTACTAAGTTACATCCCCAGCCCTTTTTTGGTTTTTATTTTGAGAAAAGATCTCACTGGGTTGCAGAGACCAGCCTTGAACTTGCAATTCTTTTGCCTTAGTCTCCTGTGTTGCTGAGATTATGGGCATAAGCCACCATGTTAAGCTAGTTTGTCTTTTTTCCACTCTACCCTGACCTGCAGCATCTCTCTTCTATACCTTTATACAGAATCCTGAGCTAAGGGAACATAAAGAGAAAGAAATCTGTCTCCATGGTGGACTTAAGTTCACCTATTATTCAAAAACAACTTTTTGATGGATGAGGAAAGGAAATTGTAACTAAGAAAAATGTCATCTGTCTGAGCAAAAGTATACAAGGATGCTAACTACTGCTCACATTAGAACAGGAGGAGTGTACAGATCATTGTGCTCTTTAGTAGTTTCTGGACCTAAGCAGTAAGGTTATGGACTGTGAAATGATCACTGTAGCTTCTGGTTTGGGGAAGATCAGTCTTGGCCCTGGGGTTGCTAGCCTTTAACTTTTTTTTTAGTTGTACAGAATTCCTGTATTTTGTTTATTTTTATGCGGTGCTGAGGATCGAACCCAGGGCCTCGCACGTGCTAGGTGAGTGCTCTACTGCTGAGCCACACCCCAGCCCAGAGAGCCTGTAACTTTCTCAGATGTGCACTCACCCAATAGCATTGCATTGGCTTAGAGGGCAGCCTGAGAAATCTCCCTTGTGTTACATTCCTGACAAGATCTGGGACACTACTCACAAACACACTAAGGGTTATATAGCAAAAATCATAAATATTCACACTATAACTATATAATAAATGTAGTCTTTGTAATAAAGCCTACAGTTAGCCACCAGTCAGTTCAGGTGAAGTTTTGCCATCACATGGGTTTGCATCAGACTTAACAAAAAAACTTTTGATGTTTCACTGCTTTTGAATTTGTGGTATTGCCTGTAAAGATAGGATTTATAACACAGAGATATCCTTAGAAGGCTTTAGTGAGGGTCCCACATCACTGTTGACAATATGCAAACTGCAGACTGGAGTTGGCCTTACATCCTGTCATTTTCTAATGCTTTAATCAAGCTCAGCCTTTTTGTAATCCCTGTCCTAAATTATTTTTGGACATGGGAAGAAAGGTTATCTCGGGAATCTCAAAGGGGCATCTGCTATTTAGAGTACCTCCTGCTGGTTTCAGGAATAGCCCAGCTTGTATAAAACATTTCCAGGACAGCCAGCCCAGAGAGAGACAAGAAGATACAAGGGAATTCTGTTATTAATCTTAACAGGAAGCACAGGGTCTTCCACAGCCAAGCCCAGCAATGCTTCCTGAGGTGCAGCCAGACTTCAACAGTGGTTTCTACTGTGACTTATCCCAGACTCCCCAAGGATTAAGACGCACCCATCTGTGGCAGGCTCACAGAGGAGCCTCTTGGAGTTTCCCAGAGGTCATGCAGAATTTGGATGTCTCTCATTCCCAGGAAATTCAGGGCCAAGCCCCTGTCCCACCCCCAGAATTGTCATCAAACTCTAGCATAGAGGCCAGGACCATGATTTCCAGGCCCAGGCCCCTTTTGCTATTAAAACAACCTGGTTTGTTTGTTTGTTTCTTTCTTTTTTAAGATTAACAGTAAGTAAATGTAACCTTCCTTTGAAAAATTCACAAAGCTTAAAAGTAAAATAAATACATATAAATGACAGAGGTGGGCTGAAGTTCTCTCTTATGTAAGTGGTCACCAGGAAATAGAAGGCACCTGGCATGCATGGTGTTCTCCATGGAGTAAGCACCCACTTGTTCCCACAGATAGGATTTATTTTCTTTCTTACAAATGAAGAAAATTGAGACTCAGAAAAGGTAAAACAAGGGGCTAGGGTTGTGGCTCAGTGGTAGAGTGCTCACCTAGCACACGTGAGGCACTGGGTTCAAACCCAAGCAAGCACCACATAAAAATGAAATAAAGATATTATGTCCACCTACAACTAAAAAATTAATATATAAAAAAAAGTAAAACAACTCACTTGAGGTCATACAATTAGTGAAGAGAGCCATAAAATTCTCTAGCAGTTTGGATTTTCTATTTAGAATGACAAAAACAAGATTTTTTATATATTATAATTTTTGTTAAATTGAGCACTCAGCTAGGTATGGAATTGGAAGAAAAAAATTTAAAAATGCCTTCATTTAGGTTATACTCTGAGGAAATAAAAGATAAAACAAAAAACATCAAAAACTGAAGAGTACATTTCCAAAGAAGCAAACCACCAAATGAAAACCTGTGCCCTTGTAGTGACAAGGTGTCTAGGAGCTGGGTGAAAAGGAAAGCGTGTGAGGGAGTGAGAGTGAGTCAGTGGTTCCCAGTCTGAGATGTGGTCTTGGATCACCAGGGAAGCTTTTAAAAGTTTAATTAGAAGTTCTACTCAGTTTAATTGATCTGGGACAGGACCCAGACATGCATATTTTTAAAGTGCCATAATATAACCTACAGTTTACAATCAGTGTTGGTGGCCCCTGCAAGAAGTCAGTTATATCAAGAAATGCGAGCCTGTCTCCGAAGTCCCCACCAAAGGGCTTAGGAGGGAAGCAGGAAAGGAGGAGGCCTGAGGGGAGTTGGCAAGGAGAGTGCACCAAGCAGGCTCTGTTCCATGGACTCTTCTGAAGTTTGGTGGTCATTAAATAACTGTTTTAAATGGTCACTCATTGGCAGTTTTAATGAATTTTTAATCTGAAAATAGATGTTAAATCAGCAAAAAGCTCAGTCACAATCTATATCTTACATTTGCACTAAAACTTCAGTAGTCTTTTTTTGACCAATGGTTCTAATAGTGAAGCTCAGCAAGATAAAACATTTTTAAGCAAAAACTACAGAATACAGAGAATGTTAAGAGCTTTAGATATAACAATAATCCCCAAATTTCTAAAGATTGTTTTCTTGTCTTCCCTTCCTGTGAATGCAGTTTGTCTTCATTACATACCCCAACTCCAAGATCAAAATAGAGTATAATTTTGAAGAAACTCAACCTCATTTTGATATCTCAGACATGCTGCCCTACTTTTATGTTTCTGTTTGGTTTGTTTTTTTAAAAAATGAGAGTTCTTGATGGGCATGTTAGTGTATGCCTATATTCCCAGCAGCTTGGGAGGCTGAGGCATGAGGATCACAAGTTCAAAGCCAGCCTTATCAACAGTAACGTTTTTCCGGAATGGTGTCCTACAGGGTCATCTGCACAGAATGGCAGCGCATTGAAGAGGGAATTCTCTGGAGGAAGCTACAATTCAAAGCGGCAGCCCATGCCTTCCCCGTCAGAGGGCTCTTTGTCTTCTGGAGGTATGGACCAAGGAAGCGATGCCCCAGCAAGGGATTATGACGGAGAGGTGAGTGGAACATGAGTGTATGCTACACCTAGAGATGGGAGTTGGGACCATTGTGTATCAAAGAACGAGTGCATGTACCCAATTAATCCTACCACTTTGAGCCTGGCCTTCGCTGCAGTAGGGGCCAGCATTCACTCCTAGCCAGGGCCAGCAGAGCCCATCGCTTGAGCTGCAAACTGCAGTTTTCCTAGATCTATTCACTTCTAATGACTTTTGAATGAAAATGCCTATATTTCTTTTTCGATATTCATGACAGTAGAGTGTATAACATTCTAATTAGGATCCCATTCTTGAAGTTGTTTGATGAGTTTCACTGGTGTTACTCATATATGAACATACGAAAGTTATGTCCTATTCATTCCCACTGTCTTTTCTATTTCCCTCACCCTTGTTGTGTCTTAGCATTCACATATCAGGACATTTGACCTTTGGTTTTTTGGGATTGGCTTATTTCAATTTAGCATGATAGTCTCCAGATCCATCCATTTACCTTTCTTTACTTTGATCCTTATAGGACTCTGATTCTCCAAGGCATTCCACAGCTTCCAACAGTTCCAACCTGAGCAGCCCCCCAAGCCCAGTTTCACCCCGAAAGACCAAGAGCCTCTCTCTGGAGAGCACCGACCGTGGGAGCTGGGACCCGTGAGCCCAGGGTGGCCCTCACCCCAGCACCCCCTACTGCCTCTTCCCTCACTTGCATCTCCTCCCTCCACCTCAGCCTGGAAACCACCAGGAGCTGGCAGCAGTAGCAGGGTAGGGACTCGGCAGTTCTGAAGACACACCTGGCAGATCATGCTCCCTTACCTAACAGCCACAACAGGCAGGCTTCAGCAAGCAGCTGAGGTCAATGTCGATTCATTCCATACACTTAGAGTTGCTTTCAGTAACATTTCACCCCTTCCCAAAAGGTAGCTGCAGTAGACTACACAAATATAAGTGATAAGAGTAAGATTAGACAGATCTCGTTTTCACAATAGCTCCTCAATGTAGCCTCAGATAATACATGGGATTCTGCGCGCCGGAGGGACGGTGTCCTTGGAAAGGTTGCTGAGCAAGCCAGTGTCAGTCCAGTTGTTGCCAGGAAATCCTCACAGATTAAAACAATGCATATTTTACTACAATACAGAGTTTAAATAAATACATAAATGTAGAAGTTAAATACTGAATGTACATAGTCAAAAGAAGCATCTTGTATTCAATGAAAGATGGATGCATATATGAGAGAAAGAGATCATTTAATTTAAAGCAATGTGTTGTTTTTTGTCTGTTTCCCAGCTAAGTCATGTACAGGGTAGAAAGGCCTCGAGCTGACATTTGTGGAGGGAGAGTGGAGAAATCCCCATCCTTGTGGTGCCCTGTCCTCAAGACCAGTGACAGGCTGTGGCCACCTTGGGAGCTTCTAGGGAACATTTGGAGACTCTGGCTTTGTTGGTTTATAGTACAACCTGGGCACCAGTGTTTTAACATTTAAAGCCACTCAGTTTCAAAAAAAAACACTCACTTTTACCCAAAACACTTCTTTTTCTAGCAATAGTGTGAACCATACTTCTCACTTCTTACTATATTTTGCTATTTGCTGCAGATGAATGTAGTAATATGATTCTGTTACCATGTGATTCCTTCCATCTGGAAGGGCACAGGAACTTCATGGGTTTTGAAAGTCCATAAAAAGTTCATAGAAGTGCTGTGTTTCTTGGGCAAATCCAGTTCCTCCTAAGGGTATGGTGAGGTAGTCTGGCCCAGGTATGGAAATGGCTTTCGAAGGAGGAGACTTGTTGAGGGTGGGTGACAGAGTCCTTAGGTAAGCCTGGGAAAAAAGACTTACAGATAATATGAAACCTCAAAAGCAAGGACTTGCTCAACCTCAACCAAATACTCTTTCTCCTGTGTAGGCAAGAATGAGTGAGGAAGCCAGTATGCAGGCAGGAAGCTGGCCCCGCAGGCCTTTCCACTGAATTCTCCCTCAGTTGCTGTTATTTTGTTACATTTCTTTTTGAATTCCTGCTGTTGTACTTGCCACTAGGAAATGAAATGAAGAACCAGAAGAATTTAGTTCTACACAGTAATTTCACCACTTAAGTATATGAGTAGAGAAAGAGATAAAAATAAAAATAGCTCATGGAAGCAAAGAAAATCTGCCTCACTTTTACTTTTCACACAGGTTTCTGGGAGAAATAGAAACAATTTTCTCCTCCCTATAAAATTCAGCTAAAATGAAGAAAATTCTACAGTTGCCACTTGGGGGTGCCATGGCCATCTCAGCACAGGTACCTGGCACTTTACATCAGCAGAACCTGGGCCAACCTGCCACAGCCTGCTGCCCAGGCCATGCTGTTTCTACGTGCACACTACTTTATGGAGAAAGGGCTACTGATATTAAATGAAAGAAGGGATCCTTTGGGGGATTAGATTGAAGTGCTTAAAACAATTGCTTTGATACTGAAATGTTCTAAATTTGCTGCTGGCTCAGGTCTGATTATATTTTATTTTGAATGGGCATAAATCACTGCTTTAGTTCTAAACTTCCAAATTATTTTTGCTTTTGGAAAAAGAAGTATCTCAAAAATGCTTCTGTTCATCTAATTATCAAGGGTCAGACCCCAAATGTGGTCATTGCCATTATGTACTACTCTGGTAGCTGCTTAAACTTGACACTTTGCATGAAAAGGAATCAACTAGCCAGCCAATTATGACCACCAGCTCCCCCCCTCTTCTCACCCTCACTAAACAATTAGTTTGTAGCTTTGACAACTAGTTGTGAGTTTTTGTTGCCTATATGTGCTTATTTTTGAAAGGATGCTTTTAGAATCAAAACCTACCTGAACTTTAGGTTCCACTACCATCAGTCCTACTACTCCTTAGCCTCCCAGCAGGGCAAATGAATGAATGAGTGCCCCCAAAGACAAGCTCATCTCAGCTGCCAGACTGATGGGCAGCTGACTCATGGTAACCAGTGGCTTGCACCACAGCGCTGTGAAATTCCCACTGTAATCATAAATTGTCTCGCACCATGAGAGAGGAGTCCTAAATATGCTTAGACTCAAAAGTCAGGACTTTGAGCGGAGTGGTTCTTTGCCAGGGGAGTAGTAGTTTTGGGGGAGATTTTCCCAAGATAATGATCATCCTGGTATGCTTATCCCACCCTTAAATATGAAGCTTCTGAGAAGAATGATCTGAAAAGACCAGAAACAGGCTCCAGGAAATGAAAAACAAAGATCATTCAGAGGTGTCCATTAACAAAGATCACAGGAAAGGTATTTTGTTGCTATCTGAAATCGTCCTTTTTTCATGCAGGACATCTTAGAAATGTGTATGGCAACAAATTAATTTCTCCATAGAAAACAATGCATTCAGAGGCATTTCTGCATAGTGTCTATATGTTGGTGTTTGGTGCTATCCATGTCCAGCCAGTGTGTTACTTATCCTTAAGTTCTGACAAATCTTATCCTGTGCTTTTTGGCTGTACAAAATTTTACATATACATATATATTTCTTTTGCCAAAAACAAAAGCCTTCCTCGTGAAATGATTGCTAAAGCAGATTTCACTTCTTTCATAATTAAAATACACACACACACATGTATACCTATTACACCTACACTTAGCGACTTACATTCTTTCCCAAGGAGCACAACTTTAAGGCTGTGAGATACAACTAAAAAGGGCCCGTCTATTTGATTTTCCAGCCAATTCTTGTATCCAGGCTTCAGGGGAGAATATGAAATTCCTGTTATGTTTACAGCAACAATCTCGTTCCCCACTGACTCTCAGCCTCCCTCTCCTTCCATATGATTAGCATCGTTATGTTATTTAGTGACCACATCTATTTCTAAGAAAGAGCAGTTGGTTCGTTTGAAATCTCAGGTATCATTAAGGAAACGCCAGAGTGGGGGTGGACAGATGACCCAACACCCAGGGCCATTCGCCAGCCTTGGCAGTGACCACATACTAGTCTCCCAATTCAGTGGGCCTGGTAGAGGCCACCACTCACTCCAGACAGAGAGACACTCAGAGCAGCCTGACGCTCCTGCTGTAAGTCACGCTTTGCTATAGCCCAAGTCCATTGGGCACAACAGGGAATTAATTGGGCACTTCCTTCCTCACCTCTCCCAAGCCCAGCCCCTGAATTAGATAAGCTTCATGGCATTTCATTGAAAGCCTCTTTCCTTGTTATGACCTTCATTGTTCCTCAAATCCAGAGTTCTTTGTTGAGTCCTGCTGGATAAGGAGGGCCCTGCTTCAGGGGAGCACTGTCTTCCGCCAGCACCAGCAGCAGGCCAGCTGCTTCTCTACCACCCCAAGGACGACCATTACACAAGAGGCCACCACTGCATTTGCAGAGCGGACTGACCACCACGAATCAACCTTGATGTCTCATGAAAGCAAAATGACCTGCCTTTTTATTTGATAGGATAATATCATTTATTTTATAAATTCTTAGGGTTTTTTTCCTCATTGTAATATTATTGTACAGTTTTGCATGGCCTAGGTGTAATCATTTTTGTTTAGAATATAATGCTGACTGATATGTGTGTATGGAAGGGGAAAAGATATTGCTTTCACCTCTTATCACTTCTTTTGTTTGTTTTTATGCCCCCAGTGTCTTAGGGAACTTTATAAGAGATTATCTGCTACCAAACAATGATGTGGATTCTTTTGCACAGAAATATTTAAGGTGGGATAGTCAAAAATGTTAACAAAAGACTTCTCACGAATATTTTATGTTGGTATCACTTAATATTAACCAGACTTTGATGTACTGCAATAAAACAGGGAACTGTTACAATTGAAGTATTTATCTTTTTTTTTTTTACCCATTTTAAAGTCTGAGGAACAGAAAAAAGCTTCCTGATTCTTGATGTCTCACTTGCCCCTGCTTTCTGTTAGTCACTTGTCCATACTTCTTCCTTACACTCCAAGGACATGGGGTTACTTTGTCCCCATGGTTTAATCTGGAACTTTCTAAGTTGTCCTTTTATATCTGATAAGAATAATGTTCATTTCCCTTGAAACTTTCACCTCCCCTCTTCTAGTCAAAACTTCCTGGATATTGTTGCTTCCATCTACATCTGCAAAGCTAAGCTCCCTGCAGGTGGCTTGAGTGGTGGCCTTGATGGTATAAATGTGCCAGCAGCTCCATTTCATGTCTGCTTGCTGCAGAGAATCAGCAACCACAGAGGACAAGAGTGGGTCCTCATGCTTTGGGTAAGTTATAACAGTTTAAGGACACACAGGAAAGGCTGGGGCTTGTCCTAAAAGAAAGCTGAAACTGGCCGCAACTAAACCATTACTCTCGAGAACCCTCCCTGTTTCCGTTTCCCATGTAATTGACATGTTATTGATAAGTTGGCTTCTTAGAATGTATGCTGTGCTTTAGGGGCAGCAGAACAGGAGTTAGCAGACTTTCTGTAAAGGGACAGTCAATACTTTTGGCTTTGTGGGCTACGTATAGTCTTTGTTGCAGCAACTCTGCTAGTGTAGTACGGAAATGACGCTATGATGAACAAAGTGTCTGTGTTCCAATAATCTTCAATGATGCAGTGGGCCATACTTGGCCCATGAATTGTAGTTTGCCAGACCTTGGTTTAGAGTGGACTTAACATGGGCTATAAGACCAGACTGTCTTATTCCAAATCCTGGTTCCACCACTTGGTGCCTGATGTTCAGCAAGTCACTGAACCCAAATCTTAGTTTTTTCCTCTAAAATGTGTCAGGAGTTAGTACATGGACATACTTAGAATGTTTGCCTATGGCTTAGTATTCTGGTGTTAACCACCAACAACAACAGTAACATACTTTTTGCACTGTTACAGTGGGCAGCCCTTCACTGGATGTTAGGGATACAAAGAGTCTTTCAGTGAATGAATGCAGGAACAGGGAGAATCATTTGGTGTCGATACTGAAAAAAATCACAATAGGTATAAAAGAAATGTGTGCCCAGGTGCAGAGCAGACATTGCTCAGGGATCAAGATTATTATCTACAATTTAGTGATTTTCACTATCATCTTAACCAAGAATCTTATCGTTTTCAGCTGGCTCTCAGACTTGGGATGCAAAAAACTACTTAATTTCCCTTTCAAAACCCTCTTCTCCTGGGCTGGGGATGTGGCTCAAGCGGTAGCGCACTCGCCTGGCATGCGTGCTGCCCAGGTTCGATCCTCAGCACCACATACAAACAAAGATGTTGTGTCTGCCAAAAATTAAAAAATTCTCTCTCTCTCTCTCTTTAAAAAAAAAAAAAACTTTTCTCCTGGCAGTTCTGCTTAGTTGTTCTTGGAGAAACAAATACTTGTTATTTTCCCCCTTCTTCCCCAGCACATTCTTGCCTTATTTGTTCAGGTTATTGCAGTGAGAAGACTATACCAAACTGGGACCAGCTGGGGACCTTCTTCTATGAACCCTGCATGGTGGTTGCTCCAGGTCTGTGGAAGTGCTGAAGAAAAACTTGTACCTTTTAAGAGGATGAGCACTCATGTGGGACTGGCTGGTGCCGCTGGGTGCTGGTGATATTGGAAGGCCTTCTAGGGACCAGCCCGACCTATTTATCCTGTCCTGGAACCCAGCATGTCCAGTACTTGTCAATCCCAAATTTCCCCCAGGAGAAGCCACTTTTCAGGAGTGTCCCTCAACTGTACCCATCTCTAAAGCAGGTTTTGCTGTGATTTGACCTGGCACCAGCCCTGCAGGTAGGTATGTATCTTTCCACAGCTGCCAGCATGGCAGTGCACAGTGGCTTCAGGGATGGTTGTGGGGGCGGGGCACCACCTCCCCTTAGCCCTGAATGTGGTTGAGCCCTCCTGGTGCAGGTGTCCAGGGCCTTAGCTGGGAACAGGTGTGCAGGCCCAGAGGCACACTGATCTGAGCACCCTGTAAAGGGAAAGGATCACCATGGTGATGATGGGGGACCCCCATCATTCCCCCCAGTTCTTAAAGCACAGAGAAAATGGTCCAGTCCTCAAAGCACTTTTCACAAGCACTTCTTTTTAATTGAACTGAAATTTGATAACAAGATTTGTACAAAAAACAGCCTATGCTGACCCTTTTGGCGCGCGGGTGGCAGCAGTGCATCTCCTCTCAGGCCCTAGTGGGTACAGCAGGCCTCTCTCCCTCTGCTGCTCCTGGCTCTCCCCTTGTGGCAGCAGTTCTCTGGAAACATTCAGATGTCCCAACCAGAGCAGGCCCAGGTGACATGGCTACAGTCACCAGCACTCTTTGGAGTGGCATTTCTCCCAGCTCCAGACCACAGGCTGGAGTCAAAAACAGCAGAAACACAAATCTCATCTAGAAACACACACACACACAATCCAAAAGTGCTTCTCTGCTTCCATTTTTCATTTTGTTTCAGTGGCAGGGATTTGAAGGAAGTAAGAACCCCCTCTTTTCTGGTTAACATTCAATTTAGAAAAAGGGGAAAAAATAAAACTGCCTTTTTTCCTAGTTATTTCAGGGACTGAATATATGACAGGCAGGTTCTGATGGAATAGTGGGGTCTCATTTTCCTTCCTGGACTTCTCCTCCACTCCTCCAGCAGTGGAAACCACTAGAGCACTGTGGGCTCCCCACCCTCCTCTCCAACTCAGAACCCACCCCACCCTCTCCCTCCGGGCAGAGGAGCGAGCAGAGCACCAGCACACCCACATCTGCTGGCCACCTGCTGATGACAGAGCAGCTGGCTACTGCTGCTCGGCCTGCCTCCTGCAGTAGTTGCTGTAGGCCTCTTCAAACATGGCTTTGCAAGAGAAGCGGGCCTTCAGCTTGGAGCAGATGAGGAAGGAGCCACCCATCTTCCTGTGCAGGGAGTAGGTCTCCTCAGGTGGGGGAACAAGGCGGTGCTTCAGCATGATGGGGATCAGATTGTGGATCTTCTCAGTGGTGCTCTGGGTGCCAAAATCAAAGGGCTCATCAGAGGCAAAGGCCTCTCCTAGGATGAGGATGGCATCCAAATGGGCATCTTCCATGGCCTGGGGGAAGACAAGAAAGGCAAACAGGGATAAACCTCAAGATCCCTCAGACCTGGGGGTCCTACCACAGTGCCCTAGCACGGAGTTCTCATCAAAGCTGTTAGTATTCAAGACTGAGGGTTCTGGTTGTTTTTAACTAGATTAACAGGCATAAACTCAAACCCACAGAGACTGGGAAACCATTAATGTCAACTGGGATTGAGGTGAGACCAAAGGGAGTAGTGGGGTCTGTGGCAGAAAAAGGAGTATAAGCCCTGACTGAAGGCACTTGAGTTCAAAGATTTTAGACAATCGTTCTAACCAGAAAGAAGAGTCCACGGGCCTGAATGAGCCTGCCAGCATCAGCCCAGCACACAGCCAGAGGTCACCTGCCTAGTGCAGGCCTCTGCTCTCCCCCACACTGGGCACATGTGACGCTAACTAGTTGCCAGCAGGGCATGGGAGAGGGACAGCCCACAGACCACCCAAGGTGGGTGGGGTAAGCACCACAAATAACAAAATGGGAGCTGCTGTCCACTGAGGGCTTTTGAGGTAAATAGCTCCACTTTTCAGAAAAAAGAAATAAGGGTCACCCACACTAACTTGCTGAAGTCACAGTCTTACTAGGCATGAATCCAAAACCAGACTTGGATCTCTATCCCCTTTCCCAGCACTGAGGAAAGTGCTGCTCCCAGGGTGGCTTCTGGGTAAAGGAACGTATTTAAAGGGCCGGGGCCTCATCCCAGCTTCCCTCATAGAAACCTGCATTCCCACCTGACTGAGTCACTGCCCTCAGTCTCTGAGTGCCTGCCCCGAGAAGTTCATGCAGAGCACAAGTCCTAAGTTGGACTGTGTCCAACAAGGCTCAAGAGCTTGTGAAGACCCTGGAGGGAAGCTGTACCCTATGTTTTCATCCCTTTATATACTAAGGTTCTGCTTCAAAGGAAAAAAATAGTCCATGTCCCCACCTAGATCCACCCCACAGGAAGCTGTGCCCACATGAGCAGGTTCCATGGAGCCCCCAGTAACACCACTCACCTTGACCTCATAGCCCGTGAGAAACTTCATCTCTATGGACTTCTGCTTCACAGCCTCCCTGTCCCTGTCAGCAGCAGCCCTAATTATCTGTGAAGAAGCACAGAAAGGATGCTCCTGAGCTCCCAGGGAGCCAAATACCCAAAACTGGACACCCCATGTTCATCCTGCTACTCTCCTTCCACAAAAGCCCTGGTCTTGAGGCCACAGCCTGTGCTGCTGGCCTCAAGACCACACTGGGATCCCCATCATCCGAAATGGGAAGCAGAAGCCCAATCATTCCTTCACCCTCTAAGGCCCCAACCTCTGGTCCTAGCCTCAGAAAAACATGGGGCAAGGCCAGGCCCCTCTCCCAACTTTACCTGAATATAGAGGTCAGTGAAGGATCTGTCATATTCCCGTGTTGCCCCAAAGTCCAGAAGAGCCACCTGAGGATGGAGACACAGGAAGGTTTGCCTGGCTGGGGATGGGAGGAGGATAATCTCTTGAGGACCCCAGAGCCTCCTGCCCACTGATGATGTTCCCCAAGCAAGGGAAAGGCTGGGGCTCACCTTGTGCTGCTCAGGGTCATAAAAGAAGTTGGACCAGTTGGGGTCTGTCTGCATGAAGTGGAACTCAAACAGCTCCCTCAGACACAGGACCAGTATATTGTAGCAGATCTGGAGACAGGGTGTGGGGCTTGCATCAAGTGGTACCAAACTGCCTGGTGATCTGTGAGTCCAGCCTGGGAAGTTCCTAACTCCCACCTTCCACCCCAAGATAATGGAACCACCCAGCAGGAGAGGTAGCTGCCCTCCTGTCACCCATCCACAGGG